GTATTTGTGATTATAAAAGAACAGAATTAATACACTATACTTAAAAAGTTTTTACTGTAGATCATTTAATGTACACTTTATTTTGCACAAATGACTTTTAAAGGGATATGGTGTTTGCAATAGACATAAAACTAAGTTTATGTATTCAGAAGATCAAGTTTTAACTATCATTACTACGTTATGTCTAAATGTAAAATTTGCGAGTAAAATAAACCATCGTAAAATAATCTCGTCAAGATCGTGTTAGGGTAAGAAACGAGAAATTGCACTGACAAAAGCAGTGAAATTATTTAGATTTTGTTCAATCAAACACAACTTCTTGTCACAATTATATGGCTTAAAACTTACATTTTCTAGTTTTTTTCCCTGTGTTTGTTTTAGCTACTTCCTTGAAATATTGAGTATGACTACAAAACATTACATAAATGCTGAATCATTTCATCAGTTCATTGTTTATTACGACGCACACCCATTATGTAAAGAACAAAAAAACATTTTTACCAACCTTGTCTGGACATGTTATCGTTTTTATTTAAAAATTGCTAGGGCTTAAAATTCTTCGCAAAACAAAACCTTTGAAAAGCCCTCACTCTGCAACCAATAGGAATAAAAGTGAATAAACAGGTTCGCCCTTGCTTTTTTGCTTAGCAGAGATCACGTGTTATGGTAACGTCAAGTGCATGAACCAATGAAATACTTGCTGCGATGGTTTCTCGCCCATACGTCATAAAATTAATGAAACGTGCGAAAACGAAAATATAAGCTTTTCAATAATGGCTTTAACATTTATGATTGTTTTAAAACCAATATTGCGAAAATTCTGTTGCATTTAATTGTTCAAGATTTTTCATTATGAACTTTATAAGGTTGCTCTACAAGCATTGTAAATTGATCTATTTTGATATATTTCTTTTGTCATTCCTCATCATTCACTATTCCTCTTCCCTCTCACTCGTCGAAAGCTTTTACAAATACTCTCTTACGTAAGTAAAAAATATAATCGTTTGCAAGAAATGCTTTAACATCCATTCATCAAGCAAAAAGCAAGCCATCAAGACCATTTTGCGCCGGGCAAAGTAAACAGGGGATTTCTTATAGACCGTTTGGAAATTAGAACAACCGCTATGAGAAAGTTCTTGTTCTGATAACGGTTTAGCAGAGACGGCGGAAGGGCGCATAGGTGAACAAGCCATTAAAGAGAAATATGTGACTTGCATGGATTTTGGACACTATATAAGATAATAAAAACATCAAGTATCATTTATATTCTTATTATGTATAAAGCTTGCTGCTCTCATCGGACGCAGGACCGGAGAATTCTGGTACTCGATAGCAAATATTGATATTGAAAACATCCTCTGCCATTTTTTGATGCTCATGAATTATAGAACTTTAAAAGTGAAATATAAGTAAAATGAAAGACGAGGAAGGAATTTTCTCTATTTCAGTATAGAGTAGTAGGTAGAGTACCGACTAAGAATTCATAAGAAACAGAAAAAAGATTTTTACAAGAGGTGTTAAATGCCAAGCACGGAAACCAAATATTTTTCACAATTGCAACGAATGTTAAAGAACTCAATTTTAAAAATGCATTATGATGACAAAAAATGTTTGAAGAAGCCGTCAACAACAGCGTTATCCCTCTTATTATATAATGGCTCAGTTTTCTTTGTCTTTCCGTGGGATGTATTTAGCACAATTACTTGAATTTACGGCTGTTTTTTTCGAGCTGTATCTGAATACACCCCAGCTTGCTGTCCAGAAAATTTTTCTCAGCCTGGCAATATTTTATATAAAGTCTCTAACTCCTGAGAGTCATACTCCCAAAGGAAAATGTGGCCTTTTGAGGATCGAATTTGTCCCCTTTAAGATGCTGATTACATAAGCCCGGGTAGCCGAGATTCAGTCAAGCGTTAAATATTTTGGCGAATGGACACGATTCAATACTTATCATCAGATAGATCTTCTAGAGCAATTTTACAATATTCTGTTTTAATAACTACGCAAAACATTTAACATTAAAACAACTAATAATTATTAATTTAGCCTAATTTGAAAATTACAACAGCAATGACTAGCGGCGCTTGAAAAACAGTTGTAACTTTTAACCTTGAAGTTTTGGCCCCTTTCAATCCTTGAAATTATTTCAAGCCTCACTAAATTTGTTAGCTACTTGTATCTCAGAAAAATTATTGAAATTTTTTTCGAAACCAAGGCCCCAGTTGGTCTAAGATACAATTCATTTAGATCTAAAAATTTAATCAAATAATGCGTTGCCGAACATCTAAATATTCACGCATTTAATAAAGAACAGGTGAAACTAATGACTCAGAAAAACAAACCGAAAACTTAAAAACAAAAAGGAATTAATATCTCAAACATTTCATCAAAGCATTTCCTTGCAGAACATTTAGCAAAATATCGCGGCGTTTTCTCGTATTTCAAAAACTGCTTCAGTATACGATATGACAAATGTGTTCCGCCTCAACGGCAAAACGCAATAAAAGGAGCTTAGCAAGTATTGAATTTGTTATTTAGAATAAGAAACACGTGATTTTTACGTTAAAAGTTTTTCATTACTTCTTTCAAATGAGGTGGGACATATTTATGCGCATGGGGGACATGTTTCTTAGGAACAAATTCCTTTGAAATTTGGCTCGGACAAACAACTTTATTGGGGAGAGCTAGCTACTTTCTGTAGCGACACCAGTTTTCTCGGGTTTTATATCTACATACGGAACCGTAAAAGCAGAACGATCGTTTTTTCGCATACACTAATAACAATTCTTCATTGTTTATCAAAGCTCATTTTGTGTTTATGGATATTTCAGTGAGATTTAGCCAAAAATCGATTACCAGCCGAAAATTTTAAGTAATATGATATGAAGAATACTCTGAACAGAAGACACATGTTTTAACTCAATATTTGAGAAAAAAAAAACAAGAAATTCTTTATTTGAAAAGTAAAAATTTAAACTCGAAATATTACTTTTCAAATAAAAATTTTCTTGTTTCTTTCCCAAATAAAGAGTTAAATACGAGTCTTCTTTCGGAGTATGCTTCATATTATAGTTAGAATTGATGCACTAAAACCTTTGCATAAAATATAGTTCAATTATTCTTTTAGAAGAACCTCCTTTATTATATAAAAAGATTATGAAAAAATCATATAGAAATATCTATCCTTTACTTGGCCATGATTATGAAACAAATCTGTTTTTTCAACACGTTTCTTCCAAATCCAATTTTCAACTAGTTTTTCTTACAGTTACGACAAATACATTTTTTTATGTTGTGTGTATATTTTTGCATGAGTATACAAAGACAAGTTGTAGCTATATTAAGTATTTTTATAGTGAGAAAAGTGTTTAGTGCACAATTTATTATTTTAATTATTTTACAAATTAGCAAATTTATGAATAGTGCAGTAATTTTATAGCAAAACTACGTTTTTAGTGAAATTCTCCAGGAGTTTCATCGATTATGTAATCGCATCTCAAATTACAATAATCAGATTTAAGAGGACTTGAGAAATAACACGTCAGCTGTTTCACACGATAATTCATTCCTACTGGTATATTAAATCGAGTCGGAGATTCATGAAACCAATTTTCTTCCTGACCGTTCGACAATAATCTTTGAATGTCCGCCTTTATCTTCAACTTGGAGGTCTCATCTGCTTCAGCACTCGAAACGGATGCCATTAACGACTCTTTCAAACCAACAGTAGTTAAAAAAGAGGAGGACGGTTCAAACTTGAGGCCAGTTGTTACAGATATTTCTGTTGAGAAAGATTCTGATCCTTTTCTGTTGTCGTAGCTGCATATCGTCACAGTTGTAACATAAGCTTTGAACCTTGGTACCAGTTTCCATGATTGATTGTCATCACTAGTTCCATCAGAGAAACCCAATTCATCATTTTCTTTTCCCAATTTTGTTAGTTTGGCTTCCTGTTTTTTATAATTGCATATTTGGTAATAACTATCTAAAAAGAATACGTTGTCCTTTTATTATGTTGGTATTATATAAACTTCAAGCATGAAACATGAAAATATTAAAAAGATAAATATGTCTGATCTGAACTTACTTATGACTTTCATTTTTAACATTTTGTAATGTTTTCCTCATATATTTTGATTTGCCTTGCATACTTACCACCAACTTCTTCAAATTTGAACAACTGACTTTCATTATCTGGTATATTTTCACATATAATTCCTTTTTCCAAATTGGCGATTCGATATCCATCATATTTTGTGTTACAGATGTAGAAATATCCAGGATAGTTTGGCTCTTCTTTCAGCTGCCAAAACTGAATTTCTATGTTAGTGCCTATTTGTTTGCAGCCAGTTCCCCACATGGCCAAATTTTCATTTTCAAACATCTTGCTAGTGATCAGGAAAGAATTGTTATTCAGTTGCATCTAGAAATTGATAAAAGGTTTGCATTTCATGTTTAAAATTAATGTTTGATTATTCCTTCAAATGAAAAGTTGCAAGTAACTGTCACTATGATAGAGAAGACTTACAGACACTGCATTTTAATTAGATTTATTTTTCTGTTTTCAGCTTTGTTTACGAATAATTGAATAATTAAATTGATCATTTATTTAACGATAAAATTTTTTAACTATAGCTATCCGTTGCATTACAGTCATGAATTTGAAATTATCTCTCAGATTCATATGTTTTATCAAGTGGCGAGGCTTGTTCGTTCTTATACTTTTGCAATTTAAAGCTCTTAGTAAAATTATGATTCGTTTCTTTAGAAAACTAATTTTTCCTATTATTTCATTAAATGCGAGTGATCAAAGTGTCTCAAACAAAATTTTGTTTTTTAGCAATATCAAATCTTTGCTTAATTAATGGAGGCCTGTCTGACGACAAATATTGGAGGCCAATTGACGTATTTCCGCTGTAATGTTCGCTATGCAGAAAAATAACATTCTCCACCTCCCCTTGATGTTTATAGTTAATCATATGGTAATTTTCAAAAACAAACACAATATCTTTTTTTGGCATTTCTCTTCATCGTATTTCAACACTTCAATCATTTAATTTTTAGATATCATAGTGCGCACAAAAAGGAACATGTCGCTTTCACAGGTGAGATTTTTGTTTTGTTTGTTCAGCAAAAAACTGAAAAGCGATTGAACTTGAAAAGCATAAAATCTGACTGATGTTTCCCTGTTTTTGTTTTTAAAACGAAACGTAGTATTCTACTTGCTTGTTGATGAATGAAACCGTATAAATATATAATGTTAACGTAACAAACCGAAACAAATATATGTTATCTATTCTAAACTTCAGTGAATTTGGCAATAAGAATCTTAACAAGCAAATGCGACATTATGAGATTACAGACCGCTAGAAGACAAGTGAAGGTCTGGAGATAGTGAGTGCGTGGTCGTTGGCAAAAAGTAGGCAGTTAAGGTAAAGTAAAGTTTCCCACAACGAAATATAATTTTAATTATTGTTATGTGGGCAGTAAAATGGCTAAGTAACTAAAACAGCGTTAATGAAGTTTACAACGAATATGTTACAAGTGATATGTCAGGCTTTGTAAAACATCTCATACCTGAACTCTCTTAAGTCGTACTTATTTCGTACTTTGATTTTTAAGAGTACATTCACTACAACCTTTTCAACAGAATTCATTCAATAATATTTAGTGCTTACGTTTTATCGATAACAGTGAAAAAAATATTCATGAAAATTAGCAAAACCTTGAAAATTTCCTAAAAACGATAACGTTCAAACTCAGTATTTGTCATATTTCAAATCCTTCCTAAATCATACTTTACATCAAATCTATAATAATAAAACGATGCAATTACTTGTATATTTTATAATACTATACGTGGCATAGGAATTGAATTACGACATATTGATATAATGAAGTGAATTTCTAAAGAAATATTTCAAATTCAAACGACCGCTGCAGGGAGTAAATAATTTCGTGTTCTAACTCTATCGTGCTCTCTAATCAAAAACATAAGCCACAATTACACTTTTGATATATATTGTTGCATTTCTTTCGTGGATTGTCGAGTTCTAAACGAGCTTCGTATTTTCAATGAAAATAGCGTAAAGAATCATATAAAGGGATGTCACAGAGAGGTTTAATCATACGTATAATGAGAAAACATACCACAAATATTTATGATAAATTTGATTTGGAAAATTACAATCGGGTACATTTTACACAGCACAAACTATCCTATTATGAAAATAACTTGATATGTATTGAAACAATAAAAGTTTCATTCACTTTTATCAACATCGTACAAAAAATCTTATAGACTAAGAAAGCCAGATGAGAAAGTTTACCATGAGCATTTACGCAGAAATATTCATTACACAAAGTTTGCTTGGGTAATAAAGACTGAACATATGAAAGAAATTTTCCAGCAAAGGCGAAGATCATATCTTCATTTAAAGACTGAACATACCAAAAATATCTCCATTTTAATGAAAGGAATCTTATTGATGACAAAGCATCATACAATACTTGCATACAAAATAAATAATTATATAATTTTGACAACAAACTTTGAACTGCCTTTTTTACTTTAGCTAGATCTAAACTAAATATATTTAATAAAACAAAGCCATGATGAAGTTCAGATGAACTAATATAATGATGGACAAACTAGGAAAAGAAACAACAGTTTGTTCTGACCAAATGCGTTAAGTAATTAGGATTTGCTTCATTAAAGACAAGTTCCCATCACAAATTTGTTTGGTTATTTTCTTGGAAAATTGCATTTTGTCTGTGTAGTGTTTGTTATTAACCGTTATGGACAATAGCAAATCATTTTATTGATTAAACGTTTATATGACGTTACAAGAATTAATAAATGATATACGATTTCACTCACGTTTCACTAAGATCTTTTTGTCTTTAAATTTATGGATTGCTGGAGCCTGATGTCCTTCACCAAGTAATGGCTTTTTACAATCTTCTCGTTTTAATGGAAATGATGAAAAAGATTACAAAACCTTTCGCCCTTTCTTGTTCCGTTTTATAGCATTTACTATTACAACGGTTTGAAGCGAAATTCACGCGTGTGAACAATGCCAAGTCTATGAACCAATAAAATCTTCGCTATAATACTTCCTCGCGCGGGAGTCACAAAACAAAAGAAACACGAGGAATTGAAAACATGGCGTCACACGAAGTGTTTTGCTATTGAAGATTTTATTAAAATAACACACAATGATATAAAAAAGACGTATTGATAATACTGTGGGAATTTCTGACAAAACAAATAAATTTCAAATGATAGCTCTGAGTAAATAATTTTCTCCTGTTTTAGTTCTGTATTATGTTGATTCTTCTTTTCGCCCCTCTGACAACACACTTAAGTGTACGTGGCAGGTGGGAATGCAAAAAGCGAACTGGGGATGGAGTGCCAGGTGGTAAGAAGGGAATGTATAAGAGCGTTCGTTTTGCTCTTGAATTTCCTGACTATTAAAAATTTAAGAAAAATAACTCCCTGATCCTAGGAAGGCATAAAGAAATTTTAAGAGTGTTTTTTTGCGTGTGAACCTATCTGGGTTTTTTTTATTCGCTCTCCTCCTCTTTCCTACTTCATCCTCCTCATCGGAGAGCGTTTGTTTTTCGATTTTATACTAAGTCTCGCATTCCATTCTGTAAAAACTCAGTAATAGAAATGCCCCTTTTGCACTGTTAACCAGCACTATTTCGTCTTTTCTTAGCTCAGCCTAGATCTTACTGTATCTTATACCAGGCAGATTTTGAACCTCCACTTTGCAACCTTGACAGGTTGTGTCTCGTAGTAGACCAGAGAGCTCGCTGGAGACTGACAATCAATTTAATGTACCATTCCTACTATGTACGATCATACGCAAATCGTACAAATGCAAAAAAATAACCATTAAAGGTCAGGAACTATGATTATAGATGAGCTAACGAGGTTGACCAATTTCTGACTTGACGCTGACGGATCAGGATTTTAACCAGTGAGAACGTTTTGAAAGGATTAAAGAACGATCCACAAAGAACTTGTGGGCGTTCGTATAATAGGAAATGCATTTTCTATCGAGAAGATTTGGCGAAGTATTCTTTAGGAATCTCGTAAGTATTTCACGACTTATTTCATCAACGACTTATTTTGAATATCAAGTTAATGAGATATTCAAAACTTTAAAAATTGACGAGCCAGATGGAGAAGAAGATGTATTTAGAAAAGCGGAGAAAGCGTTACGAAAGTACTTCACTCCACAGAAGAATATAGCTGGTGCTGTAAACGTTATTGTCAAAGTGAAAGATGAAAAACCTTGGGAAACCATAGTTGTCCAGGTGTCCAAAATCATGTCATAACCAAGACCTTGGAAAACCATAGTTGTCCAGATATCTAAAGTCATGTCATAACCAAGACCTTGGGAAACCATATGAAAATGATCTTTTGGTTTTGAATAGAGCTAAATTCTTAGTCAAACTGCACTTATACTTGAAAAGGCTTGGCAGTTAAAAAATCTAAAAACTATACAGTTAACAATTCATCGACTTTTGGTTGGAGAGGAGGTCTCACCTCCCTGAAGCTTAAAGAATGCGAGTTCTAACACCATTGTAAATGTTTTGGTCTCCTAATAATAATAATAAAATAATAATAATAATAATAATAATAATAATAATAATAATAATAATAAGAAGAAGAAGAAGAAGAAAAAGGAGTAGACGAATAAAGTATGCACAATTTCAGGCATTGCCGTGTTTCTTTACAATTTAACAACGTTCGAATGACTTACTTCTCCTATCATAGATGAAGCTATCACAATTTTTACAACATGCAAGTGGTCTTCATTATATCGCTCCTAAATGTGATTTGCCATAAAATAATCAACTTCACACGTTGATTGTTATAAATAAATATCAATTGCCGTGAAAGAATAATGACATTATTTATAAACATAGTGTCAATTTCCCAGTTTGCCTCTCATAGAATTTTCTACGTTACAGTTATTAAGATTTCGAGTGCTGTAACGTGGATAAATGCGCAAAATTAAAACTGAGCGAAAACGAGAACCATGTAAATTTTGACAGTGTTTTTGATAGTTTATGATTACAAGTATTCATACAATGACACGAACCTCAAATTTTAAAATGGGTTATTAATTTTTGCTAAAAATGCTTAAAAATACTCGATTCAATTAATTAAAAAGATAATAGATGTTTACAGTTTAATCTGTTTGTACAGGCGTATGCAAACCAAAGAAACGTTTGGGAGAATACTAGAGCTGATCAGTGCAAGGCTTGATTTAATTCACCATTGGTGTACGTTTATCTTTACATCAAAACTTTTATAGCAGCAATCATAATAACGATATAACAGGCAAAATAATTATTTGTCTTAAGAAGAATAGCACTGATATTATAACAGGGTCCCGTTTTCATAAAAATGTACCCTTGGTTTCTTCGATGATGGATTTGCATGTCAAAACACAAGTATCGGACCTAAGAAGGCTATAAAACTCACACGTCAGCTGTTTTACGCGAAAATTCTTTCCTGCTGGTACTGTATATTCTATTGCAGAAGTACGACTCCAATCTTCTTCTGTGCTTTGCGACAATGAATATTGAATCTCATCATTTATCTCAACCTTAGATTCTTCATCTACTGCAGCTGAACAAACGGAGGCCATTAACGATTGCTCCAAACCAATAGTGATTGGAGTAGTCGAGGAAGATGTAAACTTGAGGCCAGTTGTTACAGATATTTCTTCTGACAAAGATTCTGATATATGTCTGTTGTCGTAGCTCCATATCGTCACAGTTGTAACATATGCTTCGAACCTTGGTACCAGTTTCCATGATTGGTTGTCATCACCAGTTCCATCAGAGAAACCCAATTCATCATTTTCTTTTCCCCATTTTGTTAGTTTTGCTTCTTGTTTTTTATAATTGCATATTCGGTAGAAACTATCTAAAAAGAATACGTTGCCTTTTTATTATGTTGGTATATAATGAACTTCAAGCATGAAACATGAAAATAATAAAAAGAAAAATATGTCTGAACTGAACTTACTTATGACTTTCATTTTTAACATTTTGTAATGTTTTCCTCATATATTTTGATTTGCTTTGCATACTTACCACCAACTTCTTCAAATTTGAACATCTGATTTTCATTATCTGGTTCACTTTCACAACTAATTCTAGGTCCCAAATTGGCAATTCTATATCCATCATATTTTGTGTTACAGATGTAGAAATATCCAGGATATTTTGGCTCTTCTTTCAGTTGCCAAAACTGAATTTCTACGTTAGTGCCTATTTGTTTGCACCCAGTTCCCCACATGACCAAATTTTCATTTTTAAACATCTTGCTAGTGATCAGGAAAGAATTGTTATTCAGTTGCATCTAGAAATTGATGAAAGGTTTACATTTCATGTTTAAAATTAAGGTTTGATTATTCCTTCAAATGAAAAGTTCCAAGTAACTGTCACTATAATAGAGAAGACTTACAGACACTGCATTTTAATTAGATTTATTTTTCTGTTTTCAGCTTTGTTTACGAATAATTGAATAATTCAATTGATCGTATATTTAACGATAAAAAAGTTTATCTATACCTATCCGTTGCATTACTGTCATGAATTTGAAATTATCTCTCAGATTCATATGTTTTATCAAGTGGCCGATCTTTTACTTTTGCATTTTAAATCTCTTAGCTAAATTATGATTCGTTTCTTTAGAAAACTAATTTTTCCTATTATTTGATTAAACGCGAGTGATCAAAATGACTCTAACAAAATTTTGTTTTTTAGCAATATCAAATCTTTGCTCAGTTTCTAAAGCACTTGCGAAAACATTTTTTAATTTTACGCAACACTTCAATTTTTTATGGCAGTTTAAAAATAGCTAATTTGGCATTTTAGCGGGATCAGCATTTTTTGTGACGTCACAAACGGTATTTGTGCAGTTGTACACTACAAATCATATAGCATCTATAGACAAATGTCTTTGAAATATTTTGTTAAAAAAGAGGGTTATAGTTTTGTTGCAGCTAATTGTACTAACGAGAACCACACTCAAAGATGGTGTAAGTCTTTATGCGATTCTGTTTTCAATGAAGACTGGTTTGAAGCACAAAAGGGAAGACAAATTTGAGTGGATGATAAAAAACTGGTCCTTGAATAGTCGGAGTCCATCATCTACGCTTTCTCTGACTATTTTAAATCTTAGGATTTGAGAAGAGATTTGTTATGTTGCCAATACAAATAAATGCAAATCATCAAATAATGAGGACTGATGCAATCGGAGTTATTATCGTCATCATACGCCAGCATACAAATCATTGAGTTCTATAATAACTAGAGCAGTTGAGTGGACTGGTAATTGATGCCCTAAAAAATGGAGGCCAATTGACGTATATCCGCTGTAATGTTTGCTTCCCAGTTTTCTCCTTGAAGAAGCCACTCATTCAAGACATTAAATTATTTACTGAATAATTCCAAACCCTCACTAACCGTGGTCGAGCTCTTTACGGATAGATAATGAACCGAATCGAATTTTTTTTTCGTACAGACTGAGCTCGCAGGGCGAGGTTTGTACAAAAAAAGAGGTCCATTATTTCTCAGTAACGACCGAGGAAGCGAAGTTAATAAAAGGTCTATTATATGGCATTATTTGACTTGAAATGAAGCTTGCTTTCTTTCTTGTCTTTGCTGTTTTGTACGGGTTGACTTTCACTTATCTAGTTTTCGTCGGTAAAAAATGAATCGCTTTAAATTGTAATGTCGGGAAATTTAAACTGTTTTCCGAGTGTTTTTTCTTCGACAATCATTCGTAAATGTTTTCTTTCCGTTTTTTTTTCGTTTTGCTGTTTGCTTTACGAAGTTTGTGTACATTTGACTGTTTTTGCACCGTGGTCCATTACAGAAAACAATGGAGCGGCAAAAATGCTTCTGAACCAATCAAAGCGCGCTATTTTCGCGGAATTGACGCTTGCCATAAAGTAAAAGAAATCAACTGAAATTTTCTTAATCTGCTGTAGCATTCACTGTCATGAATTTGAAATTTTATCATGCTCAAGATGTTTTAGAGAATAGAGGCAAATTTTTCCAATACTTCGTGACATACATAATACGCAGATTGTGCTTCTTTTGTAAAATCTTGAATATGTACGCATTAATTGATGTAAAAACTTCCTTTTTTTAAAACAATCCCAAACCTCAAAAAATAAGGCTATCACGAAACTGTTCATACTCAAAAAATAACACATGAACACTTCTAAAACTAAAACTTTGATCTTTGTTGATTTTAATTCTTTATTCTGTATGTAACTGTTTTGAAGCTCGTTCATAAAAAACGCCAAGTCTGTAAACCGATAGGATAGCTTCTCACGTATGCATCATAAAAGCAATGAAGAGTGAAAATGAAACTAAGCTTTACGACAATCACATTAACATTTATGATTATTTCAAAGCCAATATAGCAATAATTTTATAATATTTCTGTAGAACGCTTATCACGCTGAGAAAATCAATTTACGACACAAGTTGTCTTATTTAAAATTCATATCTTCCAACTGGTGGACGTCTCGCACTTAACTGACGTTGCTTGTTGTCATGACAACATAAGTAAAATATGGAGTTTATGAGTTCCTCAGAAATTAAAACAAATTATTCTCTTCTGGGAATTTTAGTCCTTGAAATTATTACAATCGAATTTTTACGTAAGTCACTAGTATTTGTGATCATAAAAGAACAGAATTAATACACTATAATTAAAAGGTTTTTACTGTAGATCATTTAATGTACACATTATTTTGCACAAATGACTTTGAAAGGGATATGGTGTTTGCAATAGACATAAAACTAAGTTGTAGCGAGAGACTTGCCGAGCGGAAATCGAATACGTGTGATAAAAATTAATGCCCAACATAAAGTTCTGATTAGAGCCATAGAAATAGACCAAAAAAAAAACAAATTGTAAAATTTAAATTTATTGTGACGTTTCGTCTTTACTCAAGACATCTTCAGACAAATAATAAATAGGACGTTAAGACAAGATATTATATTTACAAAAAGGTGTTAAATTACTACTAAAGGAAGCGGTGTCGAATGGATACATGATAAGGAAGTTTGGAAGTGAAATGAAGAGAAATTAAGTGGAATGGAGTTTCCTTGCACATTAAGTGAAGGCTTGTGTTTATTGATTAGAAGGCTTTCATGGATGGAGAGTTCATAAGTATCGTTGGAAGAGGAGATTATTTTAAAGTCGTCTAAGTTGGTTTTGTAAATATAATATCTTGTCTTAACGTCCTATTTATTATTTGTCTGAAGATGTCTTGAGTAAAGACGAAACGTCAAATAAATAAATTTTACAATTTGTTTTTTGGTCTATTTCTATGGCTCTAATCAGAACTTTATGTTGGCATTAATTTTATAAAACTAAGTTTATGTATTCAGAAGAACAAGTTTTAACTATAATTACTACGTTATGTCTAAATGTAAAATTTGCGAGTAAAATAAACCATGGTAAAATAATCTCGTCAAGATCGTGTTAGGGTAAGAAACGAGAAATTGCACTGACAAAAGCACTGAAATTATTTAGGTTTTGTCAATCAACCACAACTTCTTGTCACAATTATATGGCTTAAAACTTACATTTTCTAGTTTTTTTCCCTATGCTTGTTTTAGCTACTTCTTTGAAATATTGAGTATGACAACAAAACATTACATAAATGCTACATCATTTCATCAGTTCATTGTTTATTACGACGCACACCCATTATGTAAAGAACAAAAAAACATTTTTACCAACCTTTGACTGGATATGTTATAGTTTTTATTTAAAACTTGCTAGGGCTTACAATTCTTCGCAAAACAAAAGCTTCGAAAAGTCCTCACTTATCAACTAATAGGATTAAAAGTGAATAAACAGGTTCGCCCTTGCTTTTTTGCTTAGCAGAGATCACGTGTTATGGTAACGCCAAGTCCATGAACCAATGAAATGCTTGCTGCGATGGTTTCTCGCGCATACGTCATAAAAATAATGAAACGTGCGAAAACGAAAATATAAGCTTTTCAATAATGGCTTTAACATTTATGGTTGTTTTAAAACCAATATTGCCAAAATTCTGTTGCATTTAATTGTTCAAGATTTTTCATTATGAACTTTATAAGTTTGCTGTACAAGAATTTTGATCTATTTTGTAGTAAATTGATCTATTTTGATATATTCTTTTGTCATTTCTCATCATGCACCATCCCTCTTCCTCTCACTTGTCGAAAGCTTTTACAAATGCTCTTTTACGTAAGTAACAAATATAATCGTTTGCAAGAAATGCTTTAACATCTATTCATCAAGCAAAAAGCAAGCCATCAAGACCATTCTGCGCAGTACGAAGTAAACAGTGGATTTCTTATGGACGGTTTGGAAATTAGAACAACCGCTGTAAGAAAAGTCATTGTTCTGACAATGGTTTAGCAGAGACGGCGAAAGAGCGCAAAGGTGAACAAGCCATTAAAGAGAAATATGTGACTTACATGGATTTTACACACTATATAAGACATAAAAAAAAATCAAGTAACATGTATTTTCTTCCTATGTATAAAGCTTCCTGCTCTCATCAGCAAGAGAATTGTGGTACTCGATAGCAAACATTGATATTGAAAACATCCTCTGCTATTTTTTGATGCTCATGAATTATAGAACTTTAAAAGCGAAATATAAGTAAAATGAAAGACAAGGAAAATTTTTTCTCTATTTCAGTATAAGGCTAAAGAGCAGTAGTAGGTAGAGCACCGACTTAAAATTCACAACAAACAGAAAGAAGATTTGTACACGAGGTGTTAAATGCCAAGCACGGAAACCGAATATTTTTCACAAATGCAACGAATGTTAAAGAACTCAATTTTAAAAATGCATTATGATGACAAAAAATGCTTGAAGAAGCCTTCAACAGCAGCTTTATCCCTCTTATTATATGATGGGTCAGTTTTCTTTGTCGTTCCGTGAGATGTATTTAGCACAATTATTTGAATTTACGGCTGTTTTTTATAGCTGTATTTGTATACACCACAGCTTGGTGTCCCAGAAAATTTGTCTCAGACTGGCAATATTTTATAAAAAGTCTCTAACTCCTGAGGCTCATATTCCCAAAGGAAAATGTGGTCTTTTGAGGATCGAATTTGTCCTCTCTAAGATGGTGATTACATAAGCCCGGGTAGCCGAGTTTCAGTCAAGCGTTAAATATTTTGGCGAATGGACACGATTCAATACTTATCATCAGATAGATCTTCTCGAGCAATTTTACAATTTTCTGTTTTAATAACTACGCAAAACATTTAAAATTACAACAACTAATAACTATTAATTTAGCCTAATTTGAAAATTACAACAGCAATGACTGGTAACGCTTAAAAAACAGTTGTAACTTTTAACCTTGAAGTTTTGGCCCCTTTCAATCCTTGAAATTATTTCAAGCCTCACTAAATCTCTTAGCTACTTCTATCTCAGAAAAATTATTGAAATTTTTTTCGAAACCAAGGCCTCAGGTGGTCCAAGATACAATTTATTTAGATCTAAAAATTTAATCAAATAATGCGTTGCCGAACATGTAAATATTCACGCATCTAATAAAAACAGTTAAAACTAATGATTCAGAAAAACAAACCGAAAACTTAAAAGCAAAACGGATTGAATATCTCAAACATTTCTTCAAAGCACTTCTTTGCAGAACATTTAGCAAGATATCGCCGCGTTTCAAAAACTGCTTCAGTATACAGGTTGACAAATGTGTTCCGCCTCCACGGCAAAACGCAATAAAAGGAGCTAAGCAAATATTGACTTTGTCATTTAAAATAAGAAACACGTAATTTTTACGTTAAAAGTTTTTCATTACTTCTTTCAAATGATGTAGGACATATTTATGCGTATGGGGGACAAACTTCTTGAAAACGTCCGTTGCTTTTCACGGGACTGTTCAAATCGTTTTTTTTATCTAAAACCATTTGAGAATGTTCTATTGCACTGGAAAGTTCGTATCTGGTGGTGATGGCAGTACAAGTTACCAGAGAATCGTCATTATTACTTGCTTCCTTATATTCTCTATCACTTTCTACTTCATCAAAGCAATTGTAAAGTAGAAGAAATCCTTCCTCCACAATAAACAATAGATTTGATATAAAACTACAGACAAAATTATTGATACTACATCCACGTGATGGTATCTATGATGTAAAGAAAGAGAATGGTAAATCTTTTATAAATTTTATCTCTTTTTCATGTCTGTCAACAAATTTTAAACTGGGATTAGAGGCATGGAGCCATCACTTCCCATTACTGCCAAGGAGAGACAACCTAGCCCTGTTTCAAAATTCGCACTTTACACCAGTTGAATGCACATAAAACAAAATATCTTTAGAAAATTTATCCCATATTTTGCATCTCTTCGATGCATTCGGCGTTTGTAAAGTTCGACGTTCGAAACTGGCCTTATGGCCTTATTGAGTAAAATTCCCCGTCGCAGACGCTGGGGTGAAACTGAAACGCTAATTGGAGGGGGGAGGTGTTTGGTAAATATTCATATATTCAGCTCTGTTTTAATTTCAAAAGAAAGCAGCAGAGCAGAGCTGAAAACATTAATTTTACCCCCCCCCCCCAAAAAACACATATTAATGTTATAGTCTCGCCCCTGCGCACAGGTAGAGTATGTTCTTATTCTCTTCCAACGCCACCACCACCACCCCTCCCCCCCCCGCTAAGAACGGCACCCCGGTAACAGTTTAATATTCCATATTAGAGCAAAATAGAAAATGCAAAACAGCCAGTAATATAAAAGTTTCAGGAAAGTTCTAGAAGATTGTTTTTTAATTAGAAATATCTTAAACATAAATATGTGACCTGCAACCTGTGGCCTTTAACTTGAGGCAAACGCTTCACATTTTGAAAAAGTTAGACGTCACAAAAGATAAGAATCTTGTTTGTCACGTTCCTATAGAATTATGGAGATCAATGAAGATCTTTCTGGCTCAAAACACGAAAAACAAACTCTGTGCACAAGAACGAGGACAATAGTAATTGGCCATGTTTTGAGTAAAGTTCTTGATGATCTACGCCTTGCTAAGGTTTTTAAAGAGTTAAATAAAAAATCTTAACAGTACACTCTTATTGACCCAAAAACATTGTAATACAAGAAACAAAATTCCAAGGTTGAATTAAGAGTTTGGTTTCTTTACACCAACTTCTAAAAAATGGTGAAAATGATTACTCTGCGATCCAGTAAATACAACATATAGATTGTTGTTGTCTAATGAAAAACTATAAATGAGTGACGTACATGAATGTTTGAAATTACTGATGACCAATGGTTGGAGCTAAAGAAATCTAGCGTTAGATGTAATTTAAAGTAAGTGCAAAATCATTAATCAAAAAGTATTTGCAATATTCATGTATACTATATATTGCATAGATTAACGATATGAACCCAAAGTCCAAACTTCAACAATATTGCAGCTACTTAAGCAGGCTTATCAGTAACCCAACTACTTCATGTAAAAACTGTCAATGAAAATAATGAACACAAATGAAATATAATAGCATATTTGGCTGATTTAGCCACAATAAAATGTTTTGAGTTATCAAAACACAACGTTTAGAAAATGCATCACCAATTAGCAAAACAACAAAATCTGACATTGTCATTTATCAACAACATCTTATTGAAGTCATAATACAGTGACAATTCTGGGGGGGGTTGGTCTAAGTTATAAGTGAGAGGGACATTATTGCTTACTGCAGAAAAGGACATTTAATAAGCCTAGGTTGGTATTAAACCTAGGGGGGGGGTGGAGGTAGGATATGACCCAAGCGAGTTTGGGTGTGCATCCCCTACAAAGTCTGTACAATTTCAGTGTATGTATATGGCAAAAGAAATTTAAATGGTTTAGTTTATTTGAAGATTTGATGAAATTGCAAACATAATTTTATTACAGATTATACACTTGTATATTTTATAATATTAGTATGTATTAACTATTCTAAGAGCACTTATGTAATGGTAATTTACCAATGCTGGTCTAAACACCATAGAATGAAGATGCAAATGTTCTATTTCGCTTGTCTTTAGTAAAGTATGATAAAATATAAATGCATTGATAACAAACTCACAATTTAAGCAACAACTACTCAGAGGTTTATCGAATCCAAAAAATATTTTCTACTTATTGATATAACAACTGCAGATTAAAAGGACATTTATATAAAACAGGCATTTGAAGAGTAAACTAATATTTCGCAAATTTAGCTTTTCCAAAACATGCACAAAGAAAAACTTATGTTGACTTTAAAGATTTTTAGTATGGCAACATTATCTGTCATATTACATACAAGCCCAGGACAATCTAAAATCTCTTATTTAAAAATTAAAACTTTATAATTGACAACATAGAAAAGATGGAGGATGGATATAGACAGGAGGTAATAACAATGTCTTATAGACATAAGACTTGACATAACTCAAAAGTTTAGGAGAGATAGTGACAGGGGGGAGATATATTGCAGAAGAATACCTGTACACTCATACACATATACACTTAACTATATAGTTAAAGATTTTTATTGACTACAAGATGTAAGTTGGGGAGAAATATTGCAGAAGAATACCTGTACACTCATACACATATAATATAAACTTGACCTTAACCCCCGCCCTAGCCTTAACCCTAACCATAACCCTAACCCTAACCTTAACCTTAACCATAATCCCTGCCTTAGCCCTAACACTACAACCAAGTGGAATGTTCAGCAATTTAGCCAACACATTGGCCGTGGGGATACTAAAAATGTCCTATTGACATAAGACTTGACATAACTCAAATGTTGATAAAAATATTGACAGGGGGAAACTAACATTCAATAGATATTTATGATATAATTTTTACCAAACTCAACCAACTTTCAAATGTTTCATGAACGATTCTCTCGTATGAACGTCAACACTTGTTGTGCTTCAACCAGATCCGTATGAAGAAAATATTTTTTTCCTCTGACTTTGAAGGTTGTAAAAGCTGTCGGTTCCTTTGCCAACTTGATTTCATTTAATGCGAATTCTGTCTCTTTCCTTCTGGCAAAGATGGTCATTGTTTCGACTGCAAAAGTCTCTTTACTAACGTCATAAAACATCTTATGAACGTATACTTTGGTCAACCAATGTAGTAATAATGTAGTTGAAGTTCCAGCGAGCAAGACCGTTGATCCTAAAGCAAGTTTACCAGCTAAAGGAACGCTTTCTTTTCCATAAATCATAAGAACTGGCGTCGCTGCAATCGTAGCTAAAGCGGTAGAAAGTGAAAAGGCTTTCACAAGTTGTACTGAACGAGATAAAGGGCCTTCGTACACCAGCTGGCGACCATTCAACTTTGCCGTATCGGATTTAAAACGTGACCATTTGTCTGTGTTATTTCTGTTTCCAGACAAAGATTTGCAAGACACATTACTGTAAGTAGAATTCCACTTGCCTGATGTCGATGCTAAATTCGTCTGCGATAAACACTTGCTGTGTTTTAAGCAGTAAAATAAAGTAGAAAACAAACGTGTTTTTCTACACACATTTAACATTTCCGAAGATGAACGGGCTAAACGATAGTACTTTCCTGTGAGTGAGCCGCTGACCATGTTGTCAGTAGAACCATTTTCATTCTCTCTCCCCACCCTTTCCCCACACGTTGTGAGATTGTCAATGCAATCAATTTGTTTTCACGATGAAGAAAAAGATTTCTTCGCTCTTTAAGAAGTTTGACCATATCTTCAAATAATGATTTTTTCATGAACGTGTGTGAGAACATCAACATCACCTATCGAAAGCTGTAGTATTCATGTTCCTTTACATGTACATGTGATTACATGTGATTAAGAGATTGGGAAACATCTTTTTGACTATCACTCACTGCTCCAAATCATTTCTAACCATAATTTTAGAGTTATTGAAAAATGTCGCTTGGCATTTCAGTAATACGTCATGGAGTCTGCATTAAGTTTACTAATTTGGTCCTCAACCGACAAAAGGATTACGTGTTTAATTCATCTCTGTTTTGAGTGTTATCTATCAATTTAGAGATGACGTTAACTTTTTCCTACCATATTATAAATATCGCATGATTTCGAAGTTCTCATTTAGCAGACGTTGACATCTGATGAGTAGTCTGCCAAAATGCATAGTGTTGTTATCTTTAAAAACAGTTCTTTTTAGAATTGTTGGGTTAGTGTTCTTGTTTTAAACATTTCTTTTAAGAATTATTACACTATTATTTTGAATTGAATTCAAATTTTGTTTTTTTGTTTTTCGGTGTTTGACGAAACTTAAAAATCGAATCTAATTTTCGTTTCTTGTTTCTTCAGTTATAGTTCATAAACAAACGTTAAAATATGACACCACAGATGTCTTTACTTTTAACAGAGCAATCAGGTGGCGAGTAAGCGTAAATTAAGGCTGTGTGTGAAGAAATAACGAATCAGCAAATTGAATTATTATTATCAGTGGCATAGCCAGGAAAAATAGTAACTTCCGCCCACCCACTATGGGGGTTCGGGGGCATGTCCCCCCGGAAAATTTTGAAATCGAGAGCCTTGGAAACAGCATTTCCTACGATTTGGAGGGCGAATTATTTGTTGTACAATAAGTTATAAAAACCCGTTTTCATTAGCTGCATTCTTAATGTGGAAATCGTCGGAACTGCAACTCGTTAAAAAGGTACTAAAGGTGACTCAGAGAAATGTTACGCAGGAGACAATTGCCTCTTAAAACATAATGAATCGAACTCATCACTGCCTCTGAATAAAAAGAAGAAATTTGGATTAGCACAAAAAGTAACAAAGTATACGACACTTCCTAAAATGCATGGGGAGACATTGTTCTTAGCATTTCACTTATTAGTTTACACTTGTTTAGATTGGGGCAGGTAGACAGGGATGGCTTTATTCTTTAAAGTTATGCTTAACTGTCTCAATGAAGTACCATGCATTATAATAACAAATATCAAAACAAATACTATACCCTTCATTTATAAAGAAATATCAGCCTCCTGTGTTTTCCTACAAATTTTTCAACCACCTCATTATGCAACACCTGTGGTTCCTCTTTTTGTACAATGATATCTTTGTGAATAAATATTCTACACAAAGAACTAAGCCGTCCTTGACCCATTCCATTCCTCAAATAGGTTTTTAACCTTTTTACCTTTTGAGTTTGAAGATTAAAGCCAGCTGGTTCACACGAGTGAAATAAGGATAAGCACAAGCGTAGACAAAAGATAAAACAAAGATAATCAATAAAGCATGTGACATAAGCATCGACATAAGCGCAGGCATAATGAAAAAATTCAAGCATAAGCTAAGAGAAGAACAAAAGAAGAACAAAAAGAGATTTAAAGAAAATCCCAATGTGTTTGTCTTTAGAGCAAAATCTAGAGCAATAGAAACAAAAGAGAAATTAATTACAAACTGATTGTCTTCACAACATTTCGCATGTGTAAGATAATTAGTAGATTTTTGAAAGTGTGGTGGATGGTAAACTGGGAAATACAGCATTTTGCAACTACGAAAAATATTTTAAGTAAAGTAATTTTTACCATGGAAAACTTGTATTTTATTGGTCAATAAACTGCAATTAAACAAGGACAAGAAAATAGGTGTAAACTATCCTTTAAAAAACAAACTTATTTATATACAAAAGACATTCATCTATTTCAGAAATTTGTCAAAATTGTAAATGATTATATGAGCTTTTGAACTATACATTTTAAATTTTACAAATTTATCATCCAATGTAGTCCAAATGAACATTGATGAGTTATAACGTTCCATAACTTAATAAAATTTCGTGTCTTACACATACTTTTGTTCAAAAGGTAAAACTTCAGCAATACCTCTACTTCGTGGTTCATTCGTTGAAGGAAGATATGTCCATGAAGAACTACTTCCCATTTCGAAACACTCTACTGATTTAAGATTTTCATATTTATCATTCCAACCTCCCATGACAACAATTGTATCACCAGTTATAACTGCACAACAACTATATCTCTTTTCCAACATGGATGGTAAGACTGTAATTTTACCTTTTTTGATGTCATAAATGTTAACACTGTTCAACTTTTCTCTTCCATCATAACCTCCAAGAAGAACAACTTGATCTCTCCATTGAACTGTTGCCATTCCATACAATGTATGAGGTAATGGGGGCATTTCCTTAAAAGTAAGAGTCATTGGATCAAACTCCAAAACACTGGACAAAACTTTGACATCTTTTCCCAATCCTCCAAAAATAAGAACTTTGTCATCAACAACAACAGCTCCATGGTTCCTACGTGGTTCAGGCATATGACACAACTCTTTCAAAACATAATATTTTGTACCTGTAATCTTTATTTCACTGATCAAATCTGATGGTTCTTCATCACAAACATTTTCAACGGATATTCGTCCTCCAATGAGAAAGATTTGTTGTTTACAAACAACAGTTTGATGACCACTATATTCATAAAAAAGGTTTGTACGAAATTTTCTCCATGTTAAAGGTAACTGTTTTATATTCAATGTCTCCATTGAGTCACAGTAATATCCTCCAAAAACAAATAAATTATTATTATAAATAAATGATAAAGCACACATGTGTTCATTTTCCATTGATGCAATCTCAAACCATTTCTTCTCCTTCCATGAAAAAATTTCAACACTCTTTTTGTCGCCTCCAGCAACCAAAATATCACTTCTTAATAAATCCATAACTAATTTCACTGGTGATGTCAATATTGGAGCAAAATGTTCATTTATAGTCATCTTGTCCAAAAGTTCAAATATCATGGTTTTCATTTTTTTCATTTCTTGGGAAGATTCAATCACATTTTTAAACCAAGACTCGACAGGGAATTCATTGCGCCAGTCCTGTATTGGATTAAACATTTTTCCATCTCCAAGTTCAATACTTGGCCAAGTTGATAAATGATCATAATTGTTGTTGATCATTGCAATGAACTGATATAAATGATGGTTGAGAAGAATGACGGACTTCATGTTTTCCATTCTTTGGGATCTTTTGAACATCGCTCTCATGCCACCACCGATAAAAATAGAGAACATTTGACGAACACCGTCCAATTCATGCAGCCTTTTTATATAAGATAAACATAAATCAATGACAATCTCCTGATGCTCCGGACATTCAAAAATTTGTGCCATGATCTTAACAAAATCGGCAAATATTCTGTCCTCCAAGCTTAAATTTTTGTTGTTGAAAGCTCTTGTTGCTTCTTCACGAGATTTTCTAAATCGATCCTTTGCCATTTTAAAAACCTTTGAATGTTGTATTGCACGGGAAAGATCATACCTGATGGTGATGGCAGTACAAGTTGCCTGAGACTCATCATTATTACTTGCTTCTTCACATTCTCTATCATTTTCTACTTCGTCAATGCATTTAAAAAGTAGAAGAAATCCTTCCTCCAAGTAGTTCAAACTGGAGCAAAGGTCTATTTTCGAAAGATTATCTAGCTTTGTTTTGATGTCGTGTAAATCTCGTATGATAAGTTGACGAAATACTTCATTACCAACGTCACCGTTTTCTAGCCAGTTTGCTGCAGCATCTCGGGCTTTGTTCGTAAAAATTTTAACGAGAGAGAGCAGTAAGTTATCAAGAGGCATGGCGTTTTGATGATTTGTACTCGTAGAGCTTGAGTATAAATCTACTGCGTCTCTGTCAATAGCAAAAACATTAGTAAAATTAGCTGTATTGTATGAATACTCGATTCAAATAAAATGCTTTATTTCTTTTAAAATATCAGCCAGTCATAATAATATATATTAATATGTTTACAGTAACGATTTACAAAATTTTCCATAAATCAGATTTCTACCTTCGCAATAAATTTTTGCAAATTACGAGGGGAAAAGAAGAAATCAAAAATGAGAGAAAAATGAAGGAAATATTAAAATACGAACAAAAACCAAATAAAACTTAATGCTCCTGCTATGTTGTTGATTTAATAATAGTTTACCGGCGATTTTTGCGATTTAGCGATCACTTTTGACAAGCGTGAAACTAAACTGACCGAACGAGATCTTTTAAAAACTAGAGCACCATTCCTACAAAACTATCCTAGATCTATCTCTGCAGTAAGGTTTTACAAAGAGTAGACGATATTTATAGTCCACTATTTAGTCCCGTTATTACATCGATTCTGTATCGTTTGTGTGTGTTTGAAGACATGAAAATTGATGTGTGTAGCGACTTGTAAAGTGTATTTATTAGCTAATATTAAATATGACTCAAAGTCTACATTGTCAAGTGACGAAAGTAAAAAAGCGACAACGAGGGAAATACATCGAAGTGAGAGCTTTTAAAAGAGAAGGGAAGTTTATTCAAATTAGGATAAATAACAATAATGAGGGAAATTCTGTGTGGAAACCGTAACCATTTTTCTGGCTGATTCTGCTCTAGTTTATTAATTTTGCATCTATATTATATATTGTATTTGTTGTTACAATAGTTTGTGTCGATCAGTACGTCGTGCTTTAATTTATAAGACTAAACTCAATTTGACCTTTTCAACAGAATTCATTCAATGATATTTAGTGCAGCTTGTGCTTACGTTTTATTGATAACGTTGACAATCTTCTGTTTGTTGAATGACCTTTGCAAGGTTAGGGAAATTTTCTATATTTTATAAAGCAATTTATTGCAAGGTTAACCCTACCACACACTGGTGAACTTGCCGCGCGTACTTGTTATTCGTTACAAATGTGATCGACAAAATTTCCTAGTGTGCGCGGAAGTATTGAACAACATTTGTCATTCGTGACAGATGAGTTAAATATCAAACGCGTTTACAACTATTCACAACTACATTGATTAATATAATAAATATACTTCTAGCATTCCAGAAAAACCTTAAAAAACAATCTCTTTTCCGGTTCCCTGGACTAAAGTCTGAGCAAAAGAAGTGGTAGCATGGGATTGAGAAGGACAGTTGTGACTATTGAACTGAAATTACATGGGAGCGCTACCTGTAATACAAAAAACAAATAGTTTTTTTAAAGGCGTGATTATATCCCAGACTCATTTTTGGCAATCTTTTCTTAAAAAATAGTGAGTAAATTTTTACAAGATAGATGGTCATTGGTTTTTTAATAACAAAATCATACGGGGCGAAGATTTCCAAACTAGCATATTACGATATACAAAAACCTTAAAATGGTTTTGTCAGTGAGTCATTAAAGTCATTGACTGTAAAACAATCACCAAAAATTTGATGATCACCAAAAATTTGAATGTTTATGCTGCGTCTAAGAATGTGCATTAGGTTCAATTTATTTCACTATGTGAGATATTAATTAGTCACTTTTACTAAAGCAATATTCTACCAAACAGGGGCGGATCTAGGATTTTTCAAACATCAGTCATAAAACGTCGAAGGCGCTCCGCACCTGGGGGGGGTCTGAGGCATTCTCCCCTGAGAAATTTTGAATTTCAGAGCCTTGAAAATGCCATTTTCAGCGTTTTAGAGCAATACAAAATGTATTTGTGGGCATCGTTTTTGCGTAAAAACAACACATTTTGCTTACGTTTTTTTCAAAAAAAAAAAAGAAGTGAACAATACTTGAATGTTTTGCCAAATATTTAGGCTCATTATCATGCCAAATATATGGCTCATTAGCATGTCTAGGAACGTAAAATTTATTTTACAATAATGCTATTCAAAAACAGATATAGTCTTTAAAAATTTTTACCAAGTTGTCAGGCATAGACCCCCCTAGAGACCCCCATTCAAACCTCTATGTAATGAGTTTAGCTAAGTTAGAAATTTGGTACTACAAGTAACAGTTCATAGATATAGAAAAGCTCAGACTTCAAGCCATGCAAGTTTATTGTAACCCTTTACCCATCTCTACATCAGTGCCAGCAAATTTACCTTTTGAGAAAAAACTTAAAATTTTTTTCTGCCAAAGGTTAAGCAAAAATTATCATACGTGTCGCATATAAACCAATCACAACTTTACGACAAGTACTAACGAACATAAAGGACAAAGAACAACCCAACGAACGACAAGGTGCAGTTTACAAAATAAATTGCTCCGACTGCCACGCCTCCTACATCGGGGAAACTGGCAGGAACTTAAACATAAGACTTACTGAGCACAAACGAGCTACTAAGAAACAAGGCAAAACTAATCACATTGCCGAAGACCACCGAATCACTAAGCACAACATTGACTGGGACTCGGCAAAATGCATCACTTACAGTACTGACTATAGACAACGGCTTACATTAGAAAGTTGGTACACCAACTTGGAACAAACCCCCCTGAACAGATCACAGCAATTACCGGCACCTTACAAACGACTTATTCACAATACAAACAAACGATCAACTAAAAACATTACAATTCAAACTAATTCATAATGACAATACACAATTGACACCCACACATTACAACTAAAAACGTCACACCTAAATCACACATCACAATAAAATATTTCACTTCACACTAATCCACAATGACAATACACATTTCCTGTACACAGAATACAATGACGTAGGAACCAGATAACAAATACGGCTAACCTGACGTTTACTCCTCATTTGACTCTGAAGATGACTACCGCTAAGGTTGTCGAAACGTCAGTCTACAACAACAAAAACAGTCCTTCTCAGGACTTCATTAACCTGGACGATCATCAATTACAAACATATACCTTCCCAAATTCAGTAAGATTAATAACGACGGAACCAACTACATGATGTGTTTGCTTTTGCTTGATAATAAAGAAATTGGAATGTTAAATAATTGCTTGATTTTAATAATGTGCTGTTTTTAATGTAAAATATTGAATTCTGTTCACACTCAATAGAACATGAAATGCAAATTTCTTGTTTTAGCTATAACTGAAGTAAACACAAAGTCGTTTTGACTTGGAAGCTTTATGCCAATAAACCTTTCACAATTTACCATTATTTATTTCAATTATTGAGCATCCTGGCTTACATACAAACTAACTGAAATAATCTTAAAGGAAGACGGGGCAGCCAGCGTTTTACAAGTAAGATAGCTCAAAAGTTAAAAATTTATAATTTAAGTTAAGAAAATCAATAAACAGAGCTTCTCTAAAATTGTCAGCGTTCCAACTTTGAAACGTGGTCAATGAAGTTTTGTCATTTTGTAAACTTTTGATCCGGATAAACAAATAATCTGATTAGAGTCATGAGAAGCAAGTAAACGTTGTGGGGCTCAAGATTTTAGGGCAGTCTTTAATATAAAAGGGAATTTCGGTTATTAATCGCGAAGTCTCTAATTTTGAAAAATTTTGTCACATCTCAGTAATAAGAGATAATTCAAAATTGATAGCGTTTGGACTTGACAGTTCATCATGCAAAGTTTTGTCATTTTGTGAACTTTTGACGCAAACAAATATTTTATATAGTCTATCTTACAAGAAGTTGAACAATTATAGACCAGAAAAAAAATCACGTGTACTATCACGTGAACAAATGAGCTTTTCACTCCAAGTAGGCGCAATTTCTAATGCCATACCTAGTAAAACGTTTTTATGTCATCATCTGTGTTAGGAATAAGATAAATAGATAAATGACTATATAAATGAGGAAAAAAATCTACTTGGTAAAAGCCATGTTAGATAAAATTAAAATTATTGCACATGTATTCATAACTGAAATTCTGTGACGTATCATAGTTTTCATTCATTTTGTTGATTTTTAGCCCTGCCGTACCAATGATATTTGAAAAGACTAATGAAATTAATTGTTGGTGACAACGCAAGAAGGGTCAGTACTTTGAAATGAAAAATTATGTAATGTGCTATTGGTAAAATCCCACCAAAATCAACAGACGTATCAATATAAAACATATGAAGTGCGAATTCCATTACGAAAATAGCATTCAGGTTTTTTGTGACAAATATAACAAAATTCTAGACATAAGAACAAACAATAACACTATGATGGGTGAACTTTATAGTCAACATACCTTCACAAATTCAGAAAGATTAATAACGACGGAACCAACTACTTGATGTGTTTGCTTTTGCTTGATAATAAAGAAATTGGAATGTTCAATAAATGCTTGAATTTAATCACCTGCTGTTTTCATTGTAAAATATTGAATTCTGTTCATGTCCAATTGAATGTGAAATGCAAATTTTTTATTTTAGCTATGACTGATGTAAACACAAAGAAGTTTTGACTTGGAAGCTTTATGCCAATAAACCGTTCATAATTTACTATTATTTATTTCAATTATTGAACATCCTGACTTACATACAAACTAACTAAAATAACCATAAAGGAAGACGGGGCAACCAGCCTTTTACAAGTAAGACAGCTCAAAAAATAAAGATTTATAATTTAGGAAGTTAAGAAAATCGATGAAACAGAAATTCTCGAAAATAGTTGGCGTTCCAACTTTGAAACGTGGTCAATGAAGTTTTGTCATTTTGTGAACTTTTGATCCGAATAAACAAATAATCTGATCAGGGGCGTGAGAAGCAAGTAGAAGTTGTGGGGCTCAAGATTTTAGGGCAGTCTTTATTAAAAAAGGGAATTTCAGTGATTAATCTCGAAGTCTCTAATTTGGAAAATTTTGTCACATCTCAGTAATAAGAGATAATTGAAAATCGATAGCGTTTGGACTTGACAGTTCATCATGCAAAGTTTTGTCATTTTGTGAACTTTTGACGCAAACAAATATTTTAAATAGTCTATCTTACAACAAGTTGAACAATTATAGACCAAAATAAAATCTCGTGTACTATCACCTTGAAGAAGCGAGCTTTTCACTCCAAGTAGGAGCAATTTCTAAAGACATACATAGCAAAACGTTTTTATGTCATCATCTGTTTTAGGAATAAGACAAATAGATAGATGTCTATATGAATGAGGAAAAAAATTCTACTTGGTAAAAGCCATGTTAGATAAAATTAAAATTATTACACATAATGTAATCATAACTGAAATTCTGTGACGTATCATAATTTTTATTCATTTTGTTGATTTTCTAGCCTTGCCGTACCAATGATATTTAAAAAGACCAGTGAAATTAATTGTTGGTGATAATGGAAGAAAGGTCAATATTTTGAATGATGAATTATCCAATTTGTTGTTGTGTAAATCCCATTAAAATCAACGGATATATCAATATAAAACGTATGAAGTGCGAATTCCACCACGAAAATGACATTCAGGTTTTTTGTGACAAATACAATGGATCTTCTCAGTAGAAATACCCCTTCTCCGTACAAATAGACCTTCTCCGTAGAAATAGACCTTCTCCGTAGAAATCGCCCTTCTCCGTAGAAATGGACCTTCTCCGTGGAAATAGACCTTCGTAGAAATGGACCTTCTCCTTAGAAATGGACCTTCTCCGTGGAAATAGACTTTCTCCGTACAAATAGACTTTCTCCGTACAAATGAAAATTCTCCGTAGAAATAGCAAATACCGGCTCTAGATGTCAAATAAATCAAATTCTAACAATTCAAAATGGCGGCGGAAACCACAAAGTAAAACTTGTATAGCGAAAGTGAGGCCTTTAAATGGCGCGTTTTTGTAGCGAATGTGGCACGAAATTTGCTAATGAGGCAGCAAAATACTGTCATAACTGCGGAAAGGAATTTTCATTTAGAAAAATACTTCAATTAATACATTTCTTGCTTTCAATTTGTAGAATTTCCACAAAATGCCTGTCACCATGAACAAGATTGTATTGAATACTATTTTCAACTGGTATACAAGTATCATGACATCACCAATTTATTAAAAACATATCATGGTATTAAGATGTGTGTCCGCTCATTAAAAAGAAAACTACAAAAATATAACTTGAAGAAAAGAAATCTCAACTTTGATGAGCAATATCTCAGGAATATTATAAAAACAGAAATGGAAGGAGCTGGAAAACTTTCTGGTTACAGTAAAATTTGGCATCTACTTCGAATAAATTATCATTTACATGCCCCACGGAGTGTTGTGGCTAGAGTTGTCCATGAACTAAATCCCCAGGCCAGTAATGAAAGAAAGGGAAATAAACTTAAACAGCGAAAGTACTTGTCTTATGGCCCTAATCACTGTTGGCATATTGATGGTAAATTTCAGTTTACTTGAATATGTTAAATTTTTTTGTCTATTTCATGGTGCATACCAGTGGTAGGAGCCAAGGGAAAAACACCTCCAAATGTCATTTACATAGGTTATGTATTGTTTCATAATACCAACATTTTCAAGGTTCATATATGAAGCTTTAGTGTAGGAAATATAGAGGGGGGGGGGAGAGTTTACTCTTTACCTTATCAGCACAACTGATGCATAGATTTTTGTAAATTAATATGAGTTCCATACAGGATATGATAAGCTCAAACCCTTTGGCTTCCCTATACATGCAGCAATTGCTGGCTTTAGTAGGAAGGTTTTGTGGTTGGATATATGCAAGTCAAACAACTCTCCAAAAGAGCCAACAAAATTGTATTTGGATTGTGTGATCGAACATGGTGGATGCCCCTTGTTAACTCGTTCAGATTATGGAACAGAGAATGGTGATATTGCAGCCATTCAATGTTATTTTCATGATGATGAGAATGCTCATAAATATGGAACATCCACTAGAAACCAAAGGATTGAAAACTGGTAGTCACATTTTCGTAAGTCTTGTAGTGGTAAGTAGGATCTATAACAACAATATTAGAAATATGTAAGACGCAGTAACTTTATAAATTAAAAAAGCTGGCGTGAAAAGTTAGTGATAGTAGTTGTAGGTTAATTGTGATCATAACTTTAACTTTTGCAGATTGGTTGAATAACTTTTTCAAGGATTTACGGGATAGCGGATCAGTGAACTTTGAAAGCGCACTACACAGACAGTGCTTATGGTTCTGTTTCCAAGATGTAAATCAAGCATCATTAAACAAAATGAAAGCGTACTGGAATACGCATTGCATTAGGTTATCTCGCCATGAAACCACTCCAGGAGTTCCTGATTTATTTTTTTATTTACCAAAAGATTCTGGGGGTGTTAACTGTCTTGTTAGGGTCAGTCAAGATAAAATTGATGAAATGAAATTGCGTCACTTCAAAGACAGCAATGACGAAAGTTCATATCAGGAATACTTTCAGTACGTTATGGATCACGAAGGTGTCAGATATCCAGACAGTCCTAAGGAGGCCTTAGATTTGTTTTGCTATTTAACGGAAAAAGCTGGAACTGAAGATTCCTTTTGTGATGAAATTTAATGTTCATTACATATGCCAAAATGCATTGCTCTTTTGTAACAAGAGCTTTAGTGTACTAACATGAAAGATTGATAACATGCTTCAAATTGGATTCATTGTTACCTAACGCTTTTTAACAAAACAATTAAATATGAACTTAACTAATAACTAATAATGCAGTTGTTACCATTAAAAATTATGAATTTTTTTATGGTTAACTCTCCCGTTGATTGCTATTCCCCCGTAAATGATAAAATACAATTATCATTATTAAATGAAACCAAATCCTTTGCCTCTTTTAGTTGGTTGTAACTATCTCTATAATGAACAGGCAATGTAATGCTTAGATCACAAGTTGAAGCAGTTGGCCGACACTTGCACCCTTCTGTACATCCATGCTTGAATTTAACCGTTATGGGTTTTGGTAATCCTAATGGTAGAAGTTGCTCGCATCCAGTTATGAATTTGTGCAACATGCACAAGGTGTTAGTGGCATGCGTCCCTAGAAAAAACCCCAATCGATTCAAATTTCAAATCTCATTTTGAACTTATAAAATTCGTCAGGCAGTGGTATTAAATGCAATCGGGCAAGTATGTCACTCAAGTTATCAATTATAAAACTGATCAATTTATGGAATTCTAATATTGAGTTCAGAGTTTAAATGAAATGGCATTTTTTTCAAATTGTGAACAGGAGTAGAATATTGGAAGATCTTTTTTTACATTCTACATCAAGTATGTTGTATTTGCAACACAGCAGATATATCTTGGAAAGCATTGGAATCCTGCCAGAAATCGAGAAAGAATTTATAAACATCAACTTCTGCCATTTTGCAATTGCTTCCTTCTTCACTAAATTCAGCTGTCATCCCATCTAACAACTGATCGGCAGAGGCAAAAAAAAGAACACTCCGCAACAAATAGTGCCTTCATTGCTGCCTTTTCTTCTTTCAATTTCTTTAATCACATTGAACAAACCTAATCCAATCATAAGCTGGTCCAGCATAAGCAGGAAACGTGAAAAATCGTTCATTACAATTGCTCTAAAAAATGGCAACAGTGCATTAGAAACTTCACTCATTAAAACTCATTCCTAAACAAAAAAATGGCAGGAATTCGTGAGAGTGTCGGGGACCACGTATTATCTTAACTTAAAAGTCAAACATCAAATACAATTTATTAACAGTGTCTGGGATGGTTTAATATGTACTTTATTGAAAATATGAAATTGAAAATTACTTTCGTTTAGTTAAAGTTCTTATTAAAGATTGTCGTGCTCAAATGGTAGTAAAAATCATATAAGAGTAAAACTCTGAGATCGTATTTTTCACAATCACTAAGCCATGTTAAAGTCAAACAAAAAGAAGTTGGCCCTTAAAGGGTTAATGACTTACACTATGCAGAACTTGTAAATCATTTCGTTTTTAAAGATTTAAACATAGCGTACCTTAAGATGTTTTTAGCAGATTGCAATGATTCTCTTGATGGCACTCCCATGTAGTGAATCTGTTGCAAAACATGCAACATGGCGTCTTCTTGCAACACTCTTTGTAAGTGTTCGTCGGTTGAACAATTTGCAATCTGTACGCCGATAAAAATTAATTTCACAAAACACTTAGAATTCATGACCGTCATAAACATTGTTTTAACATGAAAGAATGCTTTTCAGTTTTACCTTCTCTATAGCTTCAACAAGCGTAATATCCTTTACTTCTGGAATCCATGCTTCAGTTGTCATACTTGAAATACCTTCAGTCATATACGCATAAACTTTGTCTTAAAAGAAACACGGTGCTGGTCCACCTTGCACAATTGAACTAGCCATCAGTTGACCTACTACTTTGAACTTGTTACCCCCAAGCGCTGCCATGTCAAGTAAAGGCATCCCATTATTAAACATTTGTTGTTGAATAATTTGAAGTACTTCTACAAATATAATACAAAAATTTTAGTGAGTAATATAACAACAGCAACAAATAGGCAAATTGATTCATTTTATTTGCAGGTCTGGTAAGCAACTGAAACATGTATACCAGAAAAAAATTCACGACGAGGTTCACCATCATCAATTGCAGGCTCTCCAACAAATGTTACTTTCAGTAACTGCTTGTTATTGAACCATTGTTTCTTTGAAATTTCCAAATAGTCTTTGAAAACTGATTTTTGCCTCACATTAGTTCGGATTTTAATAGGGTTCGCATGTTCAGCAAGCACACCTATCAAATCTTTCATCTTCATTTTCATTTCGACCGGATTCACATTACTATCATCACATGTTTCAGAAAAATCATCATTTTTGATAGATGTAACAAAAAGATCATCTTTTATTGATCCATTTGGGTCTATCCAATTGTCAGCACAAATGTCTGCATGTGCCTCAATTTCATTAATGAATAAAAATTTTGAAGCGTTCATGTCTAAGCGAATATTACAATCGTGATGACCTTACATTAGTTGAAACATGAACGTATTAAAAATCGGTTAAATTTAAGACATCGGGAAATTCAAAAGTCGTCACGTGACATGCAATTAACGAACACTTACGACATGCGCGTAAACTTCATCACAGAGAACTGGGACGCTGTATTTTTCAGCAACTGTAAGAAAATAAGACCAATATGAATGCACGAAGTTTGTTGGTCAAATCGGCGGAAAAAACTTGTACATGTCTTGAGATATTTACTGTTTAAAACTTCTTCCAAATGTTCTCTTTTGTACACAGAGCCATAAGCTTTCTTCTCTCGTCAATAAGTGAAGCCATATCGTCCAAATCGGCTTCCCAACTAATTTGAGGCTGAAAATTATAAATAATTATTATTCTCTTGAACATAAAGTCCAAATCAACACTTAAGGTTTGTTTGTAGGGAATCCTTTCAACTACTGACTGTTTGACTTCATTGAAGAATAAATTGGAAAAGTCGTTGATTTCCACTATCACAATCTGAACATAATTAGAATATTCTTAAATCACCATTATCATGATTAATAGAACAGTCTTTAATCCTCATTATCATAATTAGATCTTAATTTTAACAGTCTTTAATCTTAAACAGTAACGTAAACTCAAGATCTTTAATTTGTACGAACTTACAAAGAGCTTATAAGATCGTGCTTCAATCCTCCTCGATCCACAGATCAATTTGTAAAGAGAGAAACCAAGTCTTGGAATTAGGATGTTATCACCATGATAAACTAGGGCGTTTAATGCTATCTCGATTGCTCCAGAGCAACCGCTGGCCAACACAACATCCTGTAAAGAAAGCAACATAAACATAGAAGTATAGGCGTTTTTATAGAATTATTTGTGTAAAAACTCCGGAATCTCTCATTTTGTTAAAGTCGGGTTAGGGCCGTTGCCCGTCAGTAGGACCTCAAGGTATGTCCTAAACCTTGAAAAACATTTTATGTAGGAGCATACGTTACTTGCATTCACCCCCCGGTAATTTGAATGGTGAGACTGAAACACTTAAATCTTAAATGAACTTTGTTCCTTATTGAAAACTTATTGAGAGGAAGGGAGAGTGGTGTGGTGAGAGAAGTGTATTCAACAAGGATGCTATAACCCTGTGTAAATTAAAAATCGTTGCTTAAGAACATTACTCACTGCAAATGATATAACGAGATGAAACACAAGAAAACAGCCACATTTTGGTTAACCATTGTCAATGAGTTGTATTTTAAAGAAATATACAATGAAATGCCAAAACTTGGTGGTGGGGTAGAAAGAGGGGAGAGGATGAAAAGTTAGATTTTTCTGCCTTCATAAGAAGGAGTCCTTCATGTTAAAGTAGACATCAATAAAGCTGCTTGAAGTAAAATTAGAGACGATGGCTTTAGGAAAACGAACATGTTAACATGAATTTCTCCCAAGTACTCTATCAATATCACTATCAACAAGTGTCCCTATAGTTATGGAGCAGGAATATGTACCTCAGCATCCACGATGTATTCAGGTGTTGAACTGTATTTTGAAACGGCATTTCGTGCCTCTTTGCATCCTACAAAAACAAATACAGATGATTGTATATGACTGGAATAGTGGAACACACACAGTGTGTATCAAAACAACAGCAATCCTTTCATTTGTGAAGCAAACACTGACAATTATCATACCATTCTTTCCACACTCCTCAAATCATAATACAAATTCTAAATTCGTACGTCATGTAAGCTAGAACAACGCAGCGAAATTCCACTTTACGTGGTACTATCAATCAGTTCCATTACAAATGGTTCAAGTAGCCACAGAGCAACGAATATTTATCGTGTTTGGTTACAGTAAGAGAACTTACACTGTTTACTAGTCGACTATATTGAAAAAGTCTTTGAAGACTGCACAAATTTCAGCTACTGTCCAATGCAAATCCCGAATAAGAAACTCCTTTAAATTGTGTTCAGCCACCTAGGGGATAATTTACTGCTGAATAGTGCAAGTTGTAAACATCTTGTGATTTTGAATTCATTACAAAGTCATCGTCAGAAAATTGGAATATTTTGTGATGTCTAAATGTTGAAGAATTTTATACACCCTTTGTATTACAAAAAGAATCAATCTTTTTGAAAAAGTGTTCTTTAACTGGACTTATTTGTTCCAAAAGGTTAAAATAAAGTCTAACTATTGTTATCATTTTAAAAAAAAGAATTGGCAAGAACTATTTTTCACCATTATTTTGCTAGAAGATTCTGCTTGGAATCCAATTTGTTAAATGATATTTTGAAGATTAATTTCCCAGGGGGGTTAGGGTCCAGGGGTGATTGAAGCACTCAAAGCAATTGATGTAACTAACCATGAGCTGGCTTGTAGCAGTTGTCCTTTCATGACTTTATTGCGCACAGAGCGCTCAAACACATTCTTCACTTGGTAGTAGGTTGCCAAAAACTGTGGGATCACCTGGAATATAAAAAATATTCTCATTGATAACTCAGTCATGCAAGGTTTTTGGAAGATTATCTTGAAACAATTTGGCTCCAAAGGGGTTTCCGCCGAACCCAGATAATGCTATTGAAACTTGGTCATCTTTGAATTAACTTTCCAGATTAAATATTAGTTTTCGTACAATCTGTGCAAAGTGCTGATTCACTGTTCTCAAACTTCACACTAACGATGGGAATGTATTTTGAATATAATATTTTAACACTTTAATAAGATATTTACAGTGTTTTTCACGATTTTACGTTCCAAGCGTTGGTTCTTCGCGATACGGAATGATTAAATTGATCTCGTTAAGATTACTGACAACCGTTAATCCTAGAACTGCGTTTTCGAACTTTATTGCCTTCTGCATTACGACTCTAATTCATCAAATTTGTAGGACTAGTTCATACAACAATAACGTCAATTTTTCCGTACTCCCTAACCAACGCTTGCAAGCTATATTTATGTATAATTATTCGGAAATGGTTTTGGGCGTTTACAAATGACTTGCAACTTTGCCATTCCGTTTTTACCTACATTCTACCGCAATGACGCATTGCGGTGAGGAAGTGTTCTCTTAACATGACTATAGTATTTTACATCATTTTAATAATATCCGTTATATCTTATAATCTATAATAAGACACAGTCACATGCTACATAATTTGACATGACAATTTACAACACACTCCCCATCTTGATTAGTCCCACTAATCAAGCATAATCCGTGTCTTCCATACAGAATCAAGAGCAGCGGTTCTCTTGCGTCTACCCTAATGTTTTGCCTCCCTTCTTCTCAGTCATTTTTTATTCTCTTTTTGCTCACATTCTCTCTCGTCGTGCTTTAACTCGGTAAAAAAGAGCTTTTGGACGGGACAATTGAGGTGAATGACTTTACCGTTCTTAACTAGCCTGACCTTAGCGCCTCTTACCACCTTATCTCTCCCTAAAAACAATTCCTCTATTACACCTGTCTTCCAATTTCCTCTTTTGACATTATCCTCATAAACAGTCACGACATCTCCCTTCTCTACTACCCTAATGGCATTGTCCTTGTCCTGCTTATGAAACTCTCTTAAACCAACCAAATACTCTTTACGCCACCTATTCCAGAAATGCATTTTTCTCTTACTCAAAAACTGATACCGTTGTTTAAAGTAACCCTCATCAGACTCCTCTTCACCAGACCCTTCGTCTGGCATGGACAACAACCTTCTTCCCGTCACCAAATGCGACGGAGTTAGTGGTTCACTACCCAGCTCGTCGTACGTATAAGTCAATGACCTAGAATTTAATGTTGCCTCAACTTCTACCATCACTGTCAGAAGTTCGTCAAATGTCAACCTAGCATTTCCAAATACCTTCTTCAAGCACCTCTTCACTGACTAACCATCCATTAAAAAAATCCACCCCACCAGGGAGCTCTTTCTAGATTGAATTTCCACTCTATCCTATTGTTTCCCAAATACCCTTGCACACTTGCATTATTATAGAGGTTTTCTAAAGTCTTGACTGTTGCTTTGAATGTTTTTGCATTGTCTGATACCATTAATGATGGGGTCCCCCTTCTATCTGAAAATCGTCTAAGACATCTCATGAATTCATCCGCAGACAAATCTTTAACTAGGTCTAAATGTAAGGCCCTAGTTACGCAACAGGAAAACAATGCGATGTATACTTTGTCTGTCCCCCCCTGATGTATTTTTCACATATAGTGGTCCAGCAAAATCTACCCCTGTTTTCAAAAATGGTTCCGCTTGCTGTAGTCTGAATGCCTGAAGATTTGCTTTGTTAGGTCTATTATATGGTTTACCCTTTAATTTCTTACACACGACACATTTGTTGAGAATTGATTTTACCTTCTGTCTGCTTTGTGGAATCCAGAACCTTGACCTTATCTCTGCTAAAGTTGCCCTAATTCCGCTATGATTTACCTTTTTGTGGCAATGCTCAACTATTAATTCCGTCATTCGACCTTCCTTTGGTAATAAGATTGGAAACTTTGTTTCCTCTTTCAAGTCTGTTTCTGCTAGCCTACCCTGACATTTTAGTAACCCCTCATCTTCTACTACCTTGAGTTGTACCTCTAACTGCTTGAACTTATCCTCCTTCTTTAGCCTGTCTTGTGAAGTCTTCAACTAAAGTTTTTCTGCTTTACTTATCTCCTGACTCCCTAATTCCGTGAAGGTTAAATCTTCATGCTTCCCTTTGATCCTAGCGATCAAATTCCTGACAAATCGTGTGACCCATGCCGTTACACGGAACAATTTCTCAACCCTACTGTACCTCTCTATAGAGATCACGTTCTGAATACCTATTTCTTTGTTAGTATCTACTACTAATAGTGCCGTTCGCTTTTCTTCTTCTTTACTCTCCCCAGTTACGCCTACCTCTGATTGCGGCCATTCTCTTTCTACGCTACTCAGCACCTTGGTACTGTCCATCAAAGTGATTGCTCTTGTATCTTCGACGCAAACACTCCCTTGCTTCCTAAATCAGTGGCAGTTTCCATTCCTGGACAATGTCCCCACTTGTCCTTCTGTGTTTTTGCTAAGATTTCATTTACTCTATGTCTAACAAACTGTTTCCACTCACCGCGATTCTGAATCCAGTATAATACTGTAATACTATCTAAACAGTACCTTGCTTCTATTTTCCCTACTTGGCCTACTAAAGCTTTCCGCAAAGATTCCATTAACTTTGCTAACACCAGCGTGGACATTAGTTCTAAGCGCGGTATAGTAAGCTTCTTCAGCGGCGCAACTCTATTTTTTGCTGTTAACAATTTCACAAAGACTCCAACACTCGTGCGACAAACAAAACATACTAGCGCGCAATACGCCTCCTCACTTGCATCACCAAACCTGTGAAGTTCAAAAGATTGAATTTGCCCTTCACACCACTATAGATGCATCTATTTAGCTTAATAGTCTTAACACGGTTTAGATCTTCAATCCATTCAGTGTATAGACTGGCGTACTTTCCGCTTATTTCGTCATCCCAATCAATCTTTTCTACGCACAACTGTTAAAACAAGATTTCCATCAAAACTAATACGCAGCTAATTAATCCTAACGGATCAAATATCTTTGCTAGTGCACTCAGCAGGTTTCGTTTAGTTGCCTTCTTGTCACCCACGTCTCCTACAAACTTTCAGCCTTCTCTTCGTCCTTTTTTCCTTTCTCACATATAGACACATGATGACCCTCCCCACTTTATCAAGCACTGTATGAAAAGTTCATTCGCATCGCGCGAATTTCGCGATAATGATGTTGATTGCATCAACAATAGCAACGATGATTTCTGCGTTAGGAGCTCATCAGACAAAACTAAATGGTATAAAATCAATCTTAGTGTTCCAAAGTGTAGTTGTGATTCGTGGAGAAAAACGCAATTTCTCTGTAAACACATGTGCGCAATTTTCAATACCTTTGATGAATAGAATTTCACAGCCCTCCCACAACACTATGGAAACAGCGTTTTCATAGCATTGGACAATGGCTTAAACCAAGAAGAAAATGAAAAAAGAGAAAGCACGAAGAGACTGATAATGAAAACAAGAACAATGCAGAGATTGCGAGCATACTTATGACGTAATAGTACAAGAGATTGAAAGAAGACGTGAAACAAAGGAAAACAAAATTAATACAAAAAAATCTTGCGAACTAAAGGAAACTACAGAAACGCGAAATTTATTGCTGGAGAAGTTGAGCCTTGTTCGAAATCAGGCATTCACCGTCAACGAGCTAAAACCTTTGCAAGAAGCGCTTGACTACGCAAATAAAATTCACGAAATCTTAAATGGAAATTGCCCAGTCAGTGAAGGTTTGCCAATTAGAAATAGTCCAACAAAAAAGCGTTTGAAAGTAACAAGTGTGAAGTATCATCAAGTATTTCATAAAAAATTGCCTTTTTGTCGCAAAAAGAAGCATGCTAATAACTATATCACAACAATGATCCCAAGAAAGAACTGAAGTACCGCCAATCAACAACTTGCAACAACAAGAAAGGTCAGTGATTCATTGCAAAACGAGCTGAAATTATGAATGTATCTTGATGCACTATGTTTTTAAATAATATAGCACCTACACTGATACTTGCAAACAGTCGACATACAATTCATGTTTCTGACTCCAAGACAACAAATAAATACATTTACAGAAAGACAGTGTCTTGGGGATACTGTGCTGGATTTTGTCCTGTGAATGTATCAACAGTAAATCTTTGGTCACTTGTCAGTCCAAAAGACATAACTGAAAAAGAATTAAAAATTATTGAAAAAGAAGTCACCACATTCAAACCTAGTTGGCCGACTGACTCTGTAAAGGCTGAAACACACTGTGCAGTCGCTTTGGTCGCGCGACTAAAGTGAATTGATGCGCGCGCGTTAGTCGCTTGAACGTCAGAAACACACATGCAAAAGCGAGCATGCGACCAAATCGCGACTATCAACATGGCGTCTAGTCATCAGGCTAAGTTACTAGCATCTGTTTGCATTTTGTACGAGCTGAAAGAGGTTGAAAAACGGAAAAAAATGATAAAATGAATAGGTGGTGGGTTCGTCAATTAAACAGGCAAAGGAGAGCACAAGGAGATTTCTGCACTTGGTTCAAGAACTAAGAACCGATGAGGAGCAGTTTAATCTGTATTTTCGTATGAGCCCTCAAATATTTGATGAGTTGCTGGCTTTGGTTGGTCCATCTCTTTGTAGGCAAGATACTCAAATGAGGCAATCAGTTGGACCTGCTGAAAGACTAGCAATCACATTAAGAAGATTGGCTACAGGTGATAGCCCACAGTCTATAGCATTTGCTTATCGTCGTGGGGCTAGCACAGTTCGCGAGGTTGTTTACGATACGTGTAATGCACTTTGGAGAGTTCTTGTTCCCACATACATGAAGGCTCCTTCGCAACCTAGTGACTGGAAGAAAATATCTGAAGGGTAAAGTTAAAACATAATTATGAGAAAGGGTTGCTTTATTGTTGACTTATGGTGCCACTGCATCATTGTTTGTTGTATGTTTTCAGATTTGCTTATACATGGAATATTCCAAACTGCATTGGAGCACTAGATGGAAAACTTATCGTTATTCAGGCTCCGAGAAACTCTGGATCTTTATATTTCAATTATAAAAGACACTTTTCCTTGGTGTTAATGGCTTTGTGTGATTCCCAGTACAAATTTATCTTTGTGGATATTCGTGAAGCTGGAAGATGGAGTGATGGGGGAGTTTTTGCTAATTCACAATTTGGATCAGCTTTTTTAAATGGTATCATATCTCTTTAAAGTATTCAGTGTTGAAAGTAGTATTCACCGTACATACTACTTTGATAGGTGAGATGCATCAACCTGCTGTTGTGCCTTTACCAGGAACAAATGAAAGCCTTCCCTATACTGTGGTTGCAGATGAGGCATTTCCTCTTAAAACCAGGATGATGCGACCTTATCCAGGAAGGGTACTGGATTGCCTTCAAAAGAGAGTTTTCAACTACAGATTGTCAAGAGCTCGGCGAACAATAGAAAACACCTTTGGTTTGTATTTACATGCTCATTTTCTTTATGGAATTTTGAATAAAACACTTTTCAATATTCTCTTCAATTGATATTTGTATCAGGTATAATGGTATCCAAGTGGCGAATACTTAAAACAACCATTATAGCAGAAGCAGATAATGTAACCAAAATTGTCAAGGCTATTTGCATTTCGCACAATTTCCTCCGAACACGCCGTGTTTCCTACAGTCCAGCTGGTTTCACAGATACTGTGGATCCATCTGGAAATGTTCATGAAGGGTCTTGGAGGCAAGAAACAACCTGTGTGCTTGAACCATTAGCTCACAACAAACAAAGAAACAACAGTAGTAAAGCATCCAAAATTAGAGAAAAGTTTGCCATGTATTTTAATTCAGAAGTTGGTCAACTTCCATGGCAGCAGGAATATGTGAAAAGAACTCATTGATATAATTTTATTTTACTTTTTTGTTGTAATATAGATAAAGCACAATTATTTTTCATTACATTCAATGTCAAAAAGAACATCCTGGATTCTTTTTTTAGCCAGTGCTTTAAGGTAATCAGAAGGAAGCTTTCTGATTTTTAATGCTATGCTTCTGCCAAAATGTTCATACTAGTCCATTGATGATTCAGTTGGGGGAGATGCTGATTGTTGAGTAATTTTTTCCAAACTGCTCAGCAACCGCAGCTGGTATTCGTTAGGACCATCATCTTGAGCTCTCTTTCTCTTTTTGTTTGATCGTGGAGGTGGTGCCAATGGTGTTGCTGCTCTAGATGATAAAGCTGAGGTGGATGAATTATATGATGGTGATGACATGGGTTGGAATGTGATTGAGTGCGAAGTCGGATCGACTGCTTCAGAAAACTGACTGCTCTCCAGATCATCTACTGCGAGTGTCAATGTACCAATGCTGTTACTTTCATCTGTAACTTCATTGACTGATTCATCTTCAATCACAGTGACAGACATGTTAGTTGATGTTCTATGTAAAGAATTAACACTTTTGAAACCCACGATCATAATGCTACTAAACACATTCAGCCTTATATAGTAACACAATAATAACAGGAGACATAAATGTTAATATGTATGCCTTACCGTCGGCGCTTTCTGTAATCGTCGAACCATGTCATCAAACCCCAAAACTCCCATGATGGTGTAGATGAGGCTGGAGCTCCTGATTTTATGGCAGCATCGTTTTTCTTTTTGTATCTGACGTATACGTCCCTAAGGCTTTTCATTTTTGCCTTGAGCTCCTCAACTGATAAAATTGATAAAACAAAATTATGCTCAATATCTCAAACAATCCTAATTTCAACAGACAACATTTCTTATCACGGCATCACTGAAAAATATCAAAGATAAATAAATTGCTCCTTACCTGTTCCTGTAAACCCAACAGTTCTCAGATCGTCTAGAATTTGATGAAACGCATTCACTCTCATCGGCTCATTTTTATAATTTTTGTCCGCAAGATCAAATAATACTGGAAAATTGCGAAAAGAATTTATGAGCACTTCTTCGTAACCAGCCATCTTTGTTCACGTTAACTTCGTAAATTAGCATTTTGAGCAAGGAAATAACCAATCACATGCAAGCGACTGAAGCGACCAAGGTCAAAAGTTCAACATGCTAAACTTCCAAAGCGAGTAGACTCGCGACTAAAACTACTAGCTTAGTGACCGCGCAATTTGGTAGTTTTAGACGCGCGACTAAAGCGACTGCCTAGTGTGTTTCAGCCTTAAGAGAAAAAAGCGTCTAATATAGTCTTCTTATTTATCATTATAAGTAATTGTTTATAACCATGAGTGCTATGTACACGTAAAACTGGAGAGGAAATCGCATGAAACTATGCTTTCTTTCGATTTTAGATAATTGACGCTTTTTTGTGGAGTTTGACTAAAAACTACACTACTGTTATTGCAGCAGAATCATTTATTTCAGAGATTGTTAAAAACAACTCAAGCACAAGATGCACATAGGCTAATAGATCTTTTCACCAAACCAAAATTATCCTTTTTCCAATCAACATCCATAGCATTCATTGGACACTACTGGTAAGTATTTGAGCTAAATAATAAAATGTAGACATGCATTATACACATACTTAGCCCACATGAGTCCACAGATTTACATGCAAAAATTAGTATCTATAGAAACATTAACTCATATAATTCCTTAATCAACAAAGAGAAAATTTTTAACTAAATGCAACAGTAATTTTGTGTAATATAGGCTATAGATAAGTTCTCAAAAACAAGACTCTACTTTGACTCACTTGGAGGAAGTGCAGACAAAAAGACACCTAAAACACAGATGATGTATCATATAAACAAACTAAGGTAATTATCAAACATGACCTTAAAAGATTTGCCCAAATATCATTTTCAACAATCAATACTATCATTCAAGTGGTCATTGTTTGTCACTGCTTTAGTGCTTTGGTAGATGTAAAAACAGGTTGGAACTTAAGCTCATGGCAATGTTTTGAGCCACTCCATTGTAAACAGGAAGATATGTATAACTGTGGAGTGTACATATGCTTGGTAAGCTTAAAATAGCCTAACTTTACTTGAATAGCTATTTTTACAAACATGATTATTTAGTAACAGCTCATTTTGCATCAGTTTGCTCGATGTCTAGCCTTGGCTTGGATCAAAAACCAGCAAACATGGAGACTGAGAATAATGAATCCTTTCAACATTACTTGGGTCTTGCTATGATGATATCACACGGTAAGGCATAAATAACATTTGGTTGAATATTTTTATATGGAATTCATTATGAATATCTTAGGAAGCGAAATGTGGCTGTTTGCAAAATATGCAGAGAGGATGACAATGAAGACTGGCTGGGTTGTGATCAATGTGGTCAATTTTTTCATGCAAGTTGCCTTAATGTTGACTTTGCCATAACCTTGTCAACACATTTTAGATGCAGATAAAATTATTATCAATATTATGCAACAAAATCATTGTTATGGTATCAGTGCAAATTTTGCAATTAAAATGAGTGCTTCAAAATATAGTAATGTGTGAATGATAAATAGTTTAATTCAAGGTAAAATGAACTGGAAAATTTAATTGATTCGGCACGATTGTGCTTGCCACTAATTCAATCTCAGACATTCTATGAATAGTTTGAAACTGTTGTTGAAATATTACCATAAACTACAAATTTTACAAATATATCTGAAATAAAATGGCTTATTCTTATTTCTTACCTTTGCGATGATTCTTCTGGCCAAAATTTTCCAAATTCATTTAAATGCGTCTACATGATTACTCTGATAGGAAATTCAAACGCAAAAACAAACTTGAATCAACTTTTGAGAGATAGCCGCTCCAGTTATTATAGAACTCAATGGTTCCGCTCTCTGAAGATAGGCGGGATACGTGGAGAAATCACGTGGGTATGCATTGAAATGTGCGAGAAAAGGCAGTTGCTAGGTTACAAGACAATTCTTGAGATTTTGGGGTATTACGATTAAGAAGCACCGAATAAAAGCGCGAAAATGAACGAATAAAACATAATATTGCAAATTGTTTGTGAAATATTATTTTCTCATCTCCAAATAGAATATTTACTATTTATTGGGAAATTTCTACTCATTTTCCGACCAAAAGCATGACATAAAAAATGCATCACAAGACGTAATGGTTGAACAAACACAAGCAGTGCATAAGGTATAAAAATTTGATCTTTAAAGTTTTATCCACTAAAAAGGTTGGAAATCTTACAAAACTGCTATTTCTCAAATGGACCTACATTTATTGAAGATTACCAAACGTGGTAGGATACAGGTTAAAATCCACTTTTTCTTTTGCTTTCTTTTAAAATGGCGGTGAAATCTCATTAAAAAATTCAAGCATAAGCTAAGAGAAGAACAAAAGAAGAACAGAAAAAAGATTTAAAGAAAATCCCAATGTGTTTGTCTTTATAAACCTCTAGAGCAATAGAAACAAAAGTCTCGACGTTCGTGTTATTTTACTCGTGTGAACCAGGCTTAAATATTATTACTTCAGTAATGCAGAAAGGGACTGTGTTCGCGAATAAGAAGTTAATTACAAACTGATTGTCTTCACAACATTTCAAATGTGTCAGATAATTAGTAGATTTTTGTAAATGTGGTGGATGGTAAACTTGGAAATAAAGTATTTTGCCACTACGAAAAATATTTTATGTAAAGTAATTTTTACCATGGAAAACTTGTATTTTATTGGTCAATAAACTGCAATGAAACAAGGACAAGAAAAAAGGCATAAATCATCCTCTAAAAACTCAAACTTATTTAGATACAAAAGTCATTCACCTATTTCAGAAATTTATCAAAATAGTTAATGATTATATGAACTTTTGAACTATACATTTTAAATTTTACAAACTTATCATCCAATGTAGTCCAAACAAACATTGATGAGTTATAACGTTCCATAACTTAATGAAATTTCATGTCTTAGACATATTTTTGTCCAAAAGGTAAAACTTCAGCAATGGCTCCCCTTCGTGATTCATTCATTGAAGGAAGATATGTCCATGAAGAACTACTTCCCATTTGGAAACACTCCACTGATTTTAGACCTTCCCATAAATTTTCCCTACCTCCCATGACAACAATTGTTTGACCAGTTATAACTGCACAACACCCAAGTCTCTTTTCCAACATGGATGGTAAGACTTTAATCTTACCTGTTTTGCTGTCATACATAATAACACTGTTCAACCTATTTCCATAATAACCTCCAAGAAGAACAACTTGATCTCTACATTGAACTGTTGCCATTCCAAACAATGGATGAGGTAATGGAGGCAATTCCTTAAATGTAAGAGTTGTTGGATCAAATTCCAAAACACTGGATAAAACTTTCATATCTTTTCCATATCCTCCAAAAATAAGAACTTTATCATCAACAACAACAGCTCCATGGTTTTCCCGTGGTTCAGGCATATGACACAACTCTTTTAATACATGAGATGTTGTACCAGTAATTTTTATTTCACTGATCAGATCTGATTTTTCTTTGCCATTAATGTATCCTCCAATGAGAAGAATTTGTTGTTTACATACAACAGTTTGATGACCACGACACTCACAAGGAAGCTCTGTGGGAAATGTCTTCCATGTTAAAGGTAACTGTTTTATATTCAATGTTTCCATTGACTGGCAGTAATCTCCTCCAACAACAAATAAATTATCATTGTAAATAAATGATGAAGCAAACTTGTGTCCTCTTTCCATTGCAGCAATCTCAAACCATTTCTTCTTCTTCCATGAAAAAATTTCAACACTGTAACCATCACCAACCAAAATATCACTTCTTAATACATCTATAACTAATTCAACTGGTGATGTCAATATTGGAGCAAAATGTTCATTTATAGTCATTTTGTCCAAAAGTTCAAACATCATTGTTTTCATTTTTTCCATTTCTTGGGAAGATTCAATCAAATTTTTATACCAAGACTCGACAGCGAATTCCTTGCGCCAATCCTGTATTGGATTAAAATTTTTTCCGTCTCTAAGTTCAATACTTGGCCAAGTTGATAAATGATCATGATTGTTGTTGATCCTTGCAATGAACTGATATAAATGATGGTTGAGAAGAATGACAGACTTTATGTTTTCCATTCTTTGGGATTTTTTGAACATCGCTCTCATGCCACCATCAATAGAAACAGAGAACATTTGACGAACACCATCCAATTCATGCAGCCTTTTTATATAAGATAAACATAAATCAACGAGATTCTTTTGATTCTCCGGACATTCAAAAATTTGTGCCATGATCTTAACAATAACTGTAAATATTCTGTCCTCCAAGGTTAAATTTTTATTGTTGAAAACATCCGTTGCTTTCTCACGGGATTTTTTAAATCGATCCTTTGCCGATTCAAAATCCTTTGAATGTTGTATTGCACGGGAAAGATTATACCTGGTGGTGATGGCAGTACAAGTTGCCTGAGACTCATCATTATTACTTGTTTCTTCACGTTTTCTATCACTTTCTACTTTGTCAATGCAATTAAAAAGTAGAAGAAATCCTTCCTCCAAGTAGTTCAAACTGGAGCAAAGGTCTATTTTCGAAAGATTATCTAGCTTTGTTTCGATTTCGTGTAAATCTCGCTTGATAAGTTCCCGAAATCTTTCATTACCAACGTCGCCGTTTTCTAGCCTGTCTGCTGCAGCATCTCGGGCTTTGTCCGTAAAAAATTGAAATATGGAGAGCAGTAATTTATCATAAGGCATGGCGTTTTGATGATTTGTACTCGTAGAGCTTGTGTATAAATCTATTGCGTCTCTGTCAAAAGCAAAAACATTAGCAAAATTAGCTGTGTTTGTATGAATACTCCATTCAAATAAAATGCTTTGTTTCTTTTCAAATTTCAACCAATCATTTTAATAGATATTAATATGTTAACAGCAACGATTTACAGCATTTTCCATAGATGAGATTTTCACTTTTGCAAGAAAATTTTGCAAATTATGAGGGAAAAAGAAGAAATCGATAATGAGAGAAAAATGAAGGGAATTTTAAAAAACGAACAGAATCCAAATAAAACTTAATGCTCGTGCTATGTTGTTGATTTAATGTTAGTTTACCGGCAAATATTCAAGAGTTACTTTACAACACTTTACATGACACTAAATGACTATTTTCTTGAGAAAACCGCTGAACGCGCTTACTGCATTTTTGTGATGTAGCGATCATTTTTGAAAGCGTAAAACTAAACTGACCGAACGAGATCTTATGAAAACTAGAGCACCATTCCTACAAAATTATCCTAGATCTATTTCTGCAGTAAGGTTTTACAAAGAGTAGACGATATTTATAGTCCACTATTTAGTCCCGTTATTTTATCGATTCTGTATCGTTTGTGTGTGTTTGAAGACATGAAAATTGATGTGTGTAGCGACGTTTAAAGTGTATATATTAGCTAATATTGAATATGGCTCAAAATGTACATTGTAAAGTGACGAAAGTAAAAAAGCGACAACGAGGGAAATACATCGAAGTGAGAGCTTTTGAAAGAGAAGGGAAGTTTATTCAAATTAGGAAAAATAACAATAATGAGAGAAATTCTGTGTGGAAACCGTAACCTTTTTTCGGGCTGATTCTGCTCCAGTTTATTAATTTTGCATCTATATTATATATTGTATTTGTTGTTACAATAGTTTGTGTCGACCAGTACGTCGTGCTTTAATTTATAAGACTAAACTCACTTTGACATTTTCAACAGAATTCATTTAATGATATTTAGTGCAGCTAGTGCTTACTTTTTATTGATAACGTTGACAATCTTCAGTTTGTCGAATCACCTTTGCAATTTTTTTGGAAATTTTCTATATTTTAAAAAGCAATTTATTTACCATCACCAGCATTTATATGACCATCATTGATGATTACTCCAGATATGTTACGGTATATCCAATGAAGCACAAGTCAGAAGTGCATGAAAAATTCAAGGAGTGGGAAGCAGCAGTCACAAACCAATTAGAGTGTTGGAGAAAAGCACTACGCACGGACATTGGGGTTAATATAAATCCACTGAGTTTGAAGATTTTTTAAAGGAGAAAGGAATTTGTCATGAGACAACAGTGCCACATTCACCCCAGCAGAACGGGATAGCTGAGCACATGAATCGGACAGTCCGAGAAGCTGCTTTTTCTACGACTTTGCATGCTGGACTCTCCAAAGCTTTTTGGCTGAAGCAGTCTGCAATGCAGCCTACATAAGAAATCGAGTCATTACGACTGCAACTGCGGTAACTCCGTATGAAAGATTGCATGGAAAAAGCAAAATGTGTCCCATTTTCCTGTCTTCAGTTGTACTGTTTATGCCCATGTTCCTGATGCGGTACGCCAGAAATTTGAGCTAAAAGCAGTCAAGATGACATTTGTTGATTACAGCCGTACACAGAAAGAATACAGGCTATAAGATGAGAATCAATAAAAAGTCTTTATTCAGAGGGACGTTACATTTAACTAAAGAGATTTTGGATCAACAAAAGCTCAAATGAAGTGTGGTGAAGATATTACTGAGTGTGCTGAAGAACAAACATAAATAAAAGGACAAGATGGTGCAACCTGAAATGAACAACAAGGTCCCTCAAATGAGCCTCGGCACTCAGGAAGAGAGAGAAATCCACCAATATATTACCACGACGAGTATGCTGGGATCACTACATCCAAGTATGCAGAACTTTACTTATCTGAGATTACAGAGACAGAAACCCTAAAAGATGCTCTTAATAGTGAATATGCAACGAAATAGAAAGCTGCTGCAGATTCAGAATACCAGTCTTTACTAGAGAATAAGACCTAAGAATTGGGCATATTACCAGCTGAACGTAAGCCTATTAGTTACACGTGGGTCTGTAAAGTTAAACACGATGAAACAGGAAAGGTAGAGAGATTTAAAGGTCGTCTGGTGGCTAAGGGTTTTCTGCAAAAATATAGAATTGACTATGAAGAGACATTCTCTCTAGCAGTTCGTTTTTCGTCAATTCGCACTCTTCTGGCTTTTGGTGTATCTCGAGGAATATTGATCCATCAAATGGATGTATTAACGGCATTCTTCAATGGAACATTGAAAGAGGAAATATACATTAAACAACCCGAAGGCTACGTAAAACCAGGAAAAGAAAAGCTAGTGTGTCGTCTCAAAAAATCGCTTTATGGTCTAAAGCAAAGTCCACGTTGCTGGAATAAGGTTTTCAGAGAGTTTTTGTTATCATTAGGATTTGTTCAGAGTGAAGCAGATCATTGCCTATTTGTTCGTTTTCTCAACGATAACCTGGCGATTATCACTGTTCACGTTGATGACCTCATACTTTTGAATGAAACTGAAGAAGAAATGAATGATCTAAAGGCCAACTTGGCAAACCAATTCAAAATGAAAGATATGTGCGTACTCCACTACTGCCTAGGAGTTAGTATTACTATAAAGAACGGTGTGTTACAAATCAATCAGGAGCAATACATCAACAAGATTCTGAAAAAGTATAAATTACAATATTGCAAGACCGTGTCTACGCCAATGGATGTAAGCGTCAAACTTGTTAAAAAAGATGGACATTACAAATCAGTCGATGCCTCTCACTATCAGTCAATGGTAGGAAGTTTGATACACGCGGCAATTGCTACCCGTCCAGATATAGCTCAAGCAGTAACGTCTTTGGCTAAATTCAGCACAGCACCGAACGAAGCACATCTTACAGCTGTGAAACGTATCTTTCGCTACTTTAAAGTAACTTGTAAGCTAAGCCTGCAGTACCAAAAAAACAATATCAATTTAGAGGGATACTCTGATGCAGACTAGGCCTCCGACACAGACGATCGACCGTCAACTTCCGGAAATGTGTTTATAATGTCAGGTGGTGCAATCAATTGGGCAAGCAAGAAACAACCAACAGTGGCTCTTTCAACGTCGGAATCGGAGTACATTGCGTTATGTTATGCAGCCCAAGAATTAGTATGGCTGAGACAACTGTTTAAAGACCTACAAATTGCTTGTACTGCGGCTAAGAACATACATTAAGATAATCAAGGTACAATCGCTATCTCAAAGAATCCAGTGCTACACAAGCGAGAGACTACAGTGTGACATAGGGTGACTGAGAGACTACAGAGTGACATAGGGTGAGTGAGAGACTACAATATGACATAGGCTGAGTGAGAGACTACAGTGTGACATAGGGTGACTGAGAGACTACAGAGTGACATAGGGTGAGTGAGAGACTACAATATGACATAGGGTAAGTGAGAGACTACAATATGACATAGGCTGAGTGAGAGACTACAATATAGGCTGAGTGAGAGACTACAGTGTGACATAGGGTGACTGAGAGACTACAGAGTGACATAGGGTGAGTGAGAGACTACAATATGACATAGGCTGAGTGAGAGACTACAATATGACATAGGGTGAATGAGGGACTACAATGTGACATAGGCTGAGTGAGAGACTACAGTGTGACATAGGGTGAGTGAGAGACTACAATATGACATAGGGTGAATGAGGGACTACAATATGACATAGGCTGAGTGAGAGACTACAATATGACATAGGGTGAGTGAGAGACTACAATATGACATAGGCTGAGTGAGAGACTACAATATGACATAAGCTGAGTGAGAGACTACAGTGTGACATAGGGTGACTGAGAGACTACAGAGTGACATAGGGTGAGTGAGAGACTACAATATGACATAGGCTGAGTGAGAGACTACAATATGACATAGGGTGAATGAGGGACTACAATGTGACATAGGGTGAGTGAGAGACTACAGTGTGACATAGGGTGAGTGAGAGACTACAGTGTGACACATAGGATGAGTGAGAGACTACAGTTGAACATAGGGTGAGCGAGAGACTACAGTGTGACATATAGGGTGAGTGAAAGACTACAGTGTGACATATAGAGTGAGTGGGAGACTACAGAGTGACACATAAGGTGAGGGGGGGACTAAAGTGTGACACATAGGGTGAGTAGGGGAGTACAGTATGACATGAAGTGAGTAGGGGAGTGCAATATGACATAGGATGTGTGGGGGAGTACAGTGTGACATAGAGTGAGTGGGGAGTACAGTATGACATTAAGTGAGTGGGGGACTACAGAGTGACACATAGTGTGAGTGGGGGAGTACAGTATGACATGAAGTGAGTGGAAGAGTACAGTATGACATAGGGTGATTGGGGGACTACAGTGTGACATAGAATGAGTGGGGAAGTGCAATGTGACATAGAGTGAGTGGGGGAGTGCAGTGTGACATGTAGTGAATGGGGGAGTACACTGTGACATGTAGTGAGTGGGGAGTACAGTGTGACATACAGTAAAGGGGGCTACAGTGTGACATAGAGTGGGTGGGGGATTAAAGGGTGACACATAGGGAGAGTGGGTTACTACAGTGTGGCATAGAGTGAGTGGGGGAATACAGTGTGAAATAGAGTGAGTGGGGGACTACAGTGTGACACATAGGGTGAGTGGGTTACTGAAGTGTGGCATAGGATGAGTAGGGGACTATAGTTTCTTTGACTTCATCAAACGAGTAACTTACAAACACAATGAACCCAACGAAACGAAAAACACAACAACAACTGCAGCAACGATACCTTAATTCAAAGGTACGTGTGAGCCTATCTCGCGTATCTTTACGACCATAAAACATACGTGTCGCATATAAACCAATCACA